CGTCTGGACGGACGCTAAGCCACGTGGGTCTCGTCGCGCACCCGCTCGGAGCCGGCGCAGTCCCTTCCGGTGCACCGCCCACCGCCCCGCCTCCGGCTCCCCGCGACCAACCTGCTCCGGGCGCTCCTCCTGCGGTGGTGCGCGCACGTCCTCGATGGCCTCGTACAAGTTCTCAGAATCGCTGCGCGCCAGGGGCCGCGGGCACACCCAGGAGCCCGCCACGCTGCAGGCCTTGAAGCGGCCGGCGCTCCCGAGGAGGCCGGCAGGGGGCGCGGCGCCCGCACGCGCCAGGTCGTCCAGGGACTGCGCGGGCCGCACGCGCGCCGCGGGCCGCGTGTACAGGCAAGTGGGCTGGCCCGGCGCCAGGCTCCTGCGCTGGGTCCCGGCGCCGCGCGGTGCAGGGCCGCACAGGGAGCCCGCACGGCCCCGGGGCTCGGCGGGCAGGCCGTCGCGGGCCGCGGGCACCGGCGCGCTCACGAAGCGGTAGTCATAAGCCAGCGGTTCCGGGGCTGCGGGGCCTGGGTGGGACGCGGGCGGCGCCGGGGCGGTGGCAGGATCGCCGATCGCTGGCAGCTCGCGCACGTACTGCGCGGGCAGGTAGAAGGGGCGTCCGTCGGGCTCGCGCCGCACGTGCCACCAGTGCTCTGTGCTGCGGCGCAGGAGCCTGTAGCGCTCGTTGGGCTGGATGGCGACGCGGCCCCCGTCCTTGCCGGTGTACTCGAAGGGGTGCTCCACCAGCACGTACACGTCCCCCTCCACGTCCGCCGCCATCGCCGCCGCAGCCTTTCCTGTGGACAGCAAGGACGAGGGGCACGGAGGTCAAGGCCACGAAGCCAGGAAGTGCACACACTTCGGGGACGGAAGACTTGGGTTCTAGTGTCCATGCTGCGCTCGTCTTGTGCGTTCTGGCCTCAGCTTTCCTATCTCGGAAACGGGAGACTCGGATACAATCTCTTAGGTTCTCGTTCTCACACCCAGTGTTAGAATTAGGGCAACCCTTTAATTCTGTAGCGTTGATTCTAAGATTTGAGCCTGGATTCAATTCCTTGGTGGTGGACTGAGGGTAATACTGGGTCTTGGCTCAGAGATAATGATTTTCAACCTTTTTCATCTCATGGCACAAAGAAAGCAATTACTAAAATTCTACAGCACAACAAAAATATATTTTTTTGCCGATCCGACAAAACAGTTTGGCATAATCTTGATTTATTCACATCGCATGGCCATTGTTGTGTTGGCTGTGGTCATTTTTCAACTTGACAATCTACAGGAAAAGAGGTCGGTGCCCCTGACAAAACAGACAGGTAACTGCATGTTTTAAACATTCTTGCAGCGCACCAGTGAGCCTCTTGAGACGCACTAGTTGAAAATCTCTGAGATAAATTGATTGCCCGAGGTCAAGCCGAAGCCACAATTTGCCTGAGAGTTGACTGGGCCTCAGTTTCCCCGTCTGTGAAGGGGGAAGAACAGCTCATTCCCTACGCCCCGCCGGGTCCTGCCGCCTCCAGACCTCAGGGAATGCGCATCCACAGCGCCTCTTCCCCGCCCCGGGCGGCTCAACCCAAGGGAGTGTCCCTGCTCCGCTTAGTTCAAGAGTCTTGGCACCGGCGGCCTACACTGCCAAGGCCGGGGAACCGGTTCTCTCGGTTTTTCTTTCCTTCTCCAGCGGCTGGGCCGCGGACGTGAACCCGGAGTCTGGCCCGCCCAGACCGGCCCGCACCGCCCCTGCCCTCCAGCTCCCACCTCCGCCTCCGGGAAAGGCTTGGCCCTGGCCGGCTGTCTGCCCTGTGCTAGATCGGTGCATCGCCCCCACGACAGCGGCCCCTGGAGTATGCACTCTGTGGCAGTGACTACTCGTGCGCTGTCTCCAGGGGTCCCCAAAGCTCTCCTGGAGTGATCGCTACAGTCCCCACCCACCCCGTGCGGGCTCAGCCTGGCCTCCAAGCCTCACTCTGAACCTGCCTGTGTCCCTCCATCAACGCGATGAGTCGGCGACCTGCTCCGGAAGCGCCTGGTCCCTCAAAGCCTTTCACACTGACCACACCTGCGGCCCCACAAAGGTGGCCCCGGACCAGCAGCCGGGAGCTCCGCTGCTTGCTGGGGAGGAGGGACCCCGGGAACGGGGTCCCACAGAGGGCGCCGCATCGCGCTCCTTTACTTTGCCTCCTCGAAGGGGCAAGCGGTGTAAAGGGAGTCACTAAGCACGTTGGGCCTTGGAGGCGGGGTCAGAGAGCTGGCCAGCGCTAAGCCAACAAACCCCGGGGAGGACACCCCTTCTCGCCACCTTCCCCTGACCTCCCGCGGCTCACTCACGTTCGCAGGGCGGGACTTCGGGAGCCCATGGGCTGGATGGGCTGAGCCGGCAGATGGATGGATGCAGGTTAGGCCCCGGCCATCTCGTCGGGCCGGTATTCAAGGGCTGGGCTGCAGAGAGTTCGGGTGGCAGGAGCTGGCAGAGGGAACAAAGAGGCAGAGGTATGCTTTGGAGGGCAGTTCCCAAGCCCCAAAGCAGCGGTGTCTGGGAGAACCGAGGGGGCGCCCGAGTCTGCCTGTGCCGGCGGGGACGCTGGAAGCCGGCCCGGCGCTAGAGAAAGTGCGACGGAGGAACGGGGGCGCTGAGGGCGGCGGTCGAAGGGGCGCTGGCGGGTCCCGAGCAGAAAAGGTGGAGTCCCGGCCCCGCCCCCACCCTCTCCGGCGGGGTCAGCCGCCCAGGAGCCTCCGCGTCCCGCGGACTGCAGGGCCCGGGCTCGCTGTCTTGCCGGGGCGTTCCCAGCCGTGGAGAGGCCACTTGCACTTTGAATCACAGGCTACCAACCCTTTCCAGCCCGACTGTCCGCACTACCCGCGCCGGGCCCAACCCCCGCCCTCCTCAGGCGCTTTTTCGGCGCAGCTCAGCGGGGCCTGGGAAAACTCGAAGCGGTGTCCCCCCTTCCCCAGGGGCGCCCACCAGAACGCAGGGTCTTGGGCTGTGTGGGGAGGGGACCCGGGCCTGGGCTCCCTTCCCGACTCCAAGGGCGGGGGTGCGGGCAGCCGGGAGGACCTCTGGCGCGTGGGGACAGACCTGTCGCCAGGACGTGCCCCGTCGCCTCTGCCCCGGCGACACGAGCCGCAGCGGCGCCAAGCCTGCTTCGGCGCAGGGGCCCTGGGTCTGGGCCCCTCCATTCCCCGGACGGAGGGCCACCCTTTTTTCCCGGTCCTCCGTGGGGAGACCGTCCCGCGCACCATCCTCCGGGCCCGCGCAGCTCCGGTACGAAGAGGAGCAGCAGCGCGATGCTCCGGGTGGGGACCCCCACTGCTACCCCCACTCAGCACCCCCCACCAGGTCTGGCCCGGCTTCGGCACCTCGGGGTGTCCACTCGCTAGCCTGGCCTCCACTTGTCCCGGCGTCCGGCGCTCCCTCCTCCGCCGCCCAGCTACCGCGCTGCCGGGTTTCCTGTTCAACAATATAGCGAGGGAGGCACCAGCCGAGAGCACCAGGCAGAACTTCCTCCCCGGCTGGGGCTGGGCTGCGGCCGCCAGAGACAATCCCCGGTGTCCTGGCTTCCTGTCCCCTCCGGGCTGGGCCCGCGCCTCAGGAGCCCGGACGCTGCCCCCTCCCCCTGCACATCCCGGGATGTTGGGCCACACCTGGCTGTCTCCTGGGAGCTGGAAGTGGCAGGACAGGGACGGAGGGATGAAGGGCGAGGGAGCCTCCTGGCCCACCTGGGGCCAGATTTCCCTCCCGCTGCTTGACCCCCCCACCCACCGGGCCACGGCCCCCCCACTTCCTCCTTGATCCTGGTCAGGGAGGAGGGCCACACTCCAAACTGTCTCCAGGGCAAGATCGGAGCAACCTCCCGGGGCTGGGCTCCAGATCCTCATCATATCTCTGCATCTGTTTTCTTTCCTGTAAACTGGGGACAGTAACACCTACTTCATAGGATTGTCGGGAAGATTAAATGAGATGCACTAAGAACACTGTGTTACTGCTATCACATTATCATGATTAGAACACACGATATATTGTTACAATTATCCCTACTTTTAAAATGAGAGGAGCCATCCTCCTCTTTGGGGTTGGATCCAGGTCTCCAACGCCCCCCTCCCCCAACCCACCCTCCTTTCCACCGGGTGGGGAGGAGAGAAATAAGGGACCCTTTGCTGAGGGGGAAGGCGCTGCGTCCAAAGGTAAGGCCGGGTCTCTTGCCCCTGGCCCCCCGGTGGGCCTGCCTCCCCCAAGCCCTCATCGCAGGTTTCTCGTCTTTCCGGAGCCTGCCCTGGAAGGAGGTGAGGCCCCTGAAGGAAGCTGGGCTCCTGGGATGCTGAAAGGACAGGAAACTGTAGTCCTAAATGTTATCTTCCCAGTCTTTTTCCCCTGCAGCCCTGTTTCCCTGAAAATGAATGTTTCCTTCTTCTGTCCTCACAGTGGGCAGTGGTGGGCTTCGCCCTGCGCGGGTGGCAGTGGACCCCCAGGCTTCTTTTGGGCCTTCAGAGGAAGGTCTGTGACCAAGTGAAAGCCACTGTGAGCCCTCACCACGAGCCCTAGCCCTCGCCCTGAGTCAGGGGCCTGCTCAAACAGTCCTTCCTGAGCCCCTTCTCGCTCAAGCCTGAGGTTTTGCATGTGCCAGCGTCAGGGGTCTGTGCTTTGACATTTAAGGAAAGAAGCCCAGGTGGTGGAATTTCAGGCATCCATGGTGGTGGAATTTCAGGCGTCAGCTGCAGTTGTTACCTACGAGTGTACCTTGCGTAAACCTCCCGGAAGTCCCGGAAATCTGACCCCACGGGGGCTCTGCCTCCTCAGAGCAAGGGTGGGATGTATGCCAAACCTGTTACTGCCCCCTCCTCCACGCCCACTGCTGGCACACGAGCCCCCTGCCTGCAAATGTTTGCCCTCCTCCCACCCCCCTCTGCTGTGCCCAGAGACGAACAGGAGAGGGGAGGCTCTATCAGACTGGTAGTGGATGGCCCAGGTCTCTCCCCAAGTCAGCGGCAGCATTAGGATTCAGAAGCCAGACCAGAGATTAGAAATACCAGGTTTTTACTGCAAAATCATTCAAAAATCACACAGCAGCAGTTCCTTCAGTACATGGCAAAGCACTTCTCGGGGCTGGGGCCCCAGGCTGCAAAGTTTATTGCATAAAATGACATGTTAAAAAGAGTGAGGTTCACGTCAGCTTTCCATTGGAAGTGAGGGGGTAAAGGTTAGCTCATCAGAAAGCATCAGCAGCTTTGGGTGATGGGCAGGGGGTCCGTGCTAATGCTACTGGTCTGGAGGGGGGGACCTCACTCCTGCCGCCTCCTCGAGCACGTTCTGGAGTGGATATACTCACAGGCCCCAGGAGACAGGGCAGGGCACAGGGGACACCACCCACCTGGGACCTGGGGCGATCTGGGCTCCGATCAGGCTGTGCCCCCAGTGGAGCATTAATGCCACTGTGAGGGGTGGGATGAGGCAAGGGGACCCGCTTTCCAGTTCCGGAGGCTTTGGAGCCCTGGGTACAGGTGTGTGCCTTCTTCCGAGGGGACAGAGAGGTTCTGTGGCAGCCCCTCCCCCAGCTGCCTAGCACTTCCTCTGTCCTATTGCACAATTTATCCAGCTCCTCAGAGCTAGGCAGGTGACTCAGCAGCCGAATCACCCCAAGCGAAAGGTGGGAGTAGGTTCATCTCTTGGTTGGGGCAGGCGGGTCTCCACCTGAGGTCTCCGATCTCAGGCTGAGTGTATGTGAGATGGCCAGAGGACCCCAGACCTGAGGGGAGCCGGCTGGGCTCAGGAGAGGTGGGGGAAGGCAGCAGAGAAATCACACCCAGATTCCCCCAAACCCCAAGGGTCTAAATATCACTTGAAAACCATTCCAGACTCCCACCCCACCTCCACCTCTTCGATGGTGATGCGCTCCAGCGCAGTCTCGAGCAGCATAGCCCTGCCCCGCTGGGGCCAGTCCAGCAAAGCTATGTGAACGCATGGCTTTGTACACAGAGGTGAGGCACCCTGCCTGCCGCAGACCTTCTCCCGCAGGTCCCTGCAGGTCCCAGCAGCCGGGCTGGCACTTCGTGGGAGGACGGGTTGCTGCTCCACTGTGCGCGTGAGACTCGCCCCCAGCCTGGGCTCACGGCCTTCTCTGTGGGTGCAGCCTGCCTCCGTCCCGGCAGGGGTGGGTCCCCGGGGTGTCTGCAGCAGCACCCTGCTGCGCGCGTGTAGGGTAGGAGTGGGGAGCGCACGGGGCTGAGGGGCGGGCGAGACGATGACCCTTCCCTGGACGGAGGAAGGCCCAAAGTGCTGGCAGTGCTGGTTCTGAGTCACCCTTTCCTTGCAGGGACCCAAGTCCAGGACAGAGAAACCGGTGGGCTTTTCGGGTGGGCAGGGCGGGGGCGGGGAGTGAAGAGGGAGAGGAAGAGGCTGGTCATCAGGTCTGACCCCGCCCGCCTGGCCATTTGGCACCTTGCACTGCAGCTCTGGCAGCAAGCGGCTGGCCAGCTGGTCCAGCCACCCACCCATCTGCCGACCAGGCCTGAGCAGCACCAGTGTGTTTGCTCAGGGTAAGGATATCTGGATTTCTTGGGTGACTTGTAAGGTTAAGAATAAAAAAATAGTTTCTGTTGAAATATGAAGGGGGGAAAACCCACCTTAAAAAACTAGACCTTTTAATCAGGAATGTGAATTTGAAGATGTGTCCCAAGTCTTGTTGTCCCCAGAGTGTGAACCGTCCTGACGGAGGCGCCACCTTAGTGCGGTCAGCCAGGCCCTGGTTAGTGCAGTCAGCCAGGCCCTGGTTAGTGCAAAGCCCCCGCCCCAGCACCCCAAACAAGGGGGTTCTGCTGGCGTCCCCACCTCCCGGAGCAGGAGGGGGTGCATCATCAAGGGCCCCTCTGGCAGGCATGTGCTCTGGTCACATCTGGGGCTTCCTGACACGGGAGGCAGCCGTGACACCTTGAGGGAGCACCCGGGCTCACAGCAAACCCGGCTGGGATGGCTGAGCTGAAGCCTCAGCCGAGGCCTCTGAGCGGGGGCAGGAGACCGGGTTAGGTGAGAGTGTTCTGTTCTTGGTACTTGCGCCGGCGGGCACAGCGGGGGCAGCCCTTCACCACGGCCTGGCACGTCTGGTGGAAGACGGTCTTGCATTCACCACACCTGGGAGAAAGCGGCAAGTGCTGCCTGTAAGGATGGGTGGGAGGCCCGCCCTGGGGCCGGAGGCGGCCAGTGCTCCTGGACAGAGCCCATAGCCGGGCAGCGTTCTGCCCACGTCCCTGCAGTAAAGTTTCCCCAAGGTCATGGATGGAGGCACGCTGGCACCCTCTGTTTCATTTTTAAATAAATGCAGCTAAGACTCACTGACTTCTTGCCTATGTTTGAGCCACTGCAGTCAGGAAAACTCAGCCCTATTCTGTTCAGGGGCTGAATCTGGGCCAGGGAGCGCCTACTGAAAATGAGTTGCTGTGCCCGCCAGTTCAGATTTCCACTCCCATGTGGGCTGGAATGAAGATTTGCTGAATGAATTTGTCCATTTGGAGGCTTCTGATAATGAGTGGTGACTGGGGACAAGAACGACCACGCCAGGAGCAGAGGCACAGCCAGGGCAGTAACTCATTCAATCCCCCTTCAACCCATTTGTGGGTGACAAAAACTGAGGCCTAGAAAGGCACCCCCAACCCCCTCGAGCCAACAGTGTCCTGTGAGGGCTTGACTTGTCCCAGAGCTGGACGGGGGCTGGCCGTGCCTGCCCAGGGCATCAGCTGCTCTGGACAAGCCTTCCTCGAACGCTGGGGTCCGCGGTGGGCAGGACGGGGGGTGGGGAGCTGCTGGGTGTCCTACACACCTGACTGTGGTGTCGAACTCAAAGGGGAAGATGATGTCGCGGTGGTGGCAGATCTGGCAGATGAAGCCGCGCTGGGTGCAGAGGTCGCAGTGGTAGACGTGCTGGGAGGCGGACTCGATCAGGGCCTTGAGGAACCCTTCGTACGTCCCTTCGGAGATCTGTCGGGGCACACGCAGGCCGCCAAGCCTTTTAGGGAGCTGTGCGGAGGCCAAGGTCATCTGCAAAGCGTGGCCCGCTGCCGCTCCTGGCGCCCTGCCTACAACACTCCTACTCTGACAGCAGTGTCACCCCACGTGGGCAGGAAACCCTCCCCAAACCAAGACGAGCAACACGGGCATCCAGCCCTGGTGCCCACTGGGGTAACAGGACTGACAGACGGAACCCCAGTCCACTCTTCCCTTCCTCCAGGGCAGGGGTGTCTCGAACTGTCGCCCTGTGACTTTGGCCTTTGCCAGAGTGCTTGCTTGTTATGGGGGGGCTGGGGGCTCACTCACTGCCCCCGGACGCAGGGACAGTGGGACGCCCGCCCTGAGGTTCTGAGAAGCTGAGGGTGGCTGTCTGGGTGCAGTGAATGCAGACAACGCCGCCCTGCCACCCCCTCTCTGTTCCAGGTTTCTCCAGGTGCAGGGCCCTCTAGAGAGGCCTGGAGGCGTGGCTTGCTCACCTGCTGGAGGTCGGCGACGCTGTACTTGTGGGGAGACTCCAAGAGATAATTCCTGTGGCCGAGCCTGCAAAGAAAACACGAGGGCTCCTTAGAAGGGTTTGTTTTTGTTCCCCGACCGACCAGGCACCCACACCTGCCGCCTGGGTGGGGTGGTGGCAAAGGGCACAGCCCACCAGCAGGGGCCGGAACCCGGGCTTCCAGGCGGCTGACTTGCCATTGAGACCCTGGGCTGGTTACTTAACCGCCCGAGCCTCGGGTTTCCTCACCTGAGAAATGGAGCTGTTTTGAGGATTAAATAATTTATTTAAAGCACCTGGCACAGGGCGTTGCACATAGTAAACAATGAATAATTACCTACTATACTTGATAAACTTGTACTGCATAATTGCCAAGAGTAGAACTTAAATGTTCTCACCAGAAAAAAATTTATGAACAACCCTGGCTGGTGTGGCTCAGTGGAGTGAGCGCCAACTTGAGAATCAAAAGGTCGCTGGTTCGATTCCAGTCAGGGCACATGCCTGGGTTGCAGGCCGGTCCCCAGCAAGGGGTGTGTGAGAAGCAACCCATAGATGTTTCTCTCCCTCTTTTTCTCCCTCCCTGACCCGCTCTGAAAATAAATAAATAAAATCTTTAAAAATTATTTATGCACAAATAACTAAACGAAATAAATAAGTAAGGGGATGCGAGGGTTCATTACCCAGACAGGAGGAGTCCCCTCACGAGGCCTCCGCACAGCTCGTCGTGCCGCACACTGCGAATACCTTACCCTTTTGTCAGCTGTATCTCGGTAAGGCTAAAACTACGGCCGGTCCCGGGAGCCGGGCTGGGGTGCGTGTGCTCACACACGCACACACACGCACACTCCATCCCACAGTGGCTCCGCGGGGCTGGCACTGGGAGAACTAGCGCCCCCTCTGGGAAGGCGAGGACGCGGAGGCACAGAGGTCGGGTAAGGGCTGCTGAGGGGCGGCCGTCTGAATGCAGGAGTTTGCCCCCAGAGCCTGCATCCATGGGGGGGGGCGGTGCTTACTTAGCTGTGGTCATCATTGCCACCATCGCTCATCAGGGACAGTGCAGGGGACGGAAATGCACAGGACGTGGCTCCTGCCCTCCTGTAGCCCTGGCCTCGCCGAGGGACAGACATTCAAGCATCTGGTTTCGCTGCTATGTGAGAGGAACTGAGACCTGCCCTAAGCACCTTGGCAGATCCCATTTCGGAGGCGGGGTGGGGGGGTGGGGAGGCAGGGAGGCAGGAGGCAGGGAGGCGGGGAGGCAAAGGATGAGGCTCAACCACCAGCTGGTTTCTGCCCGGAGAGAGTGGCAGATCCTGAGGGTTACATCCTGCAGGACGGAGAGGAAACACCTGCAGACCCTCGGTCCCCTGGTACAAAGCCAGCCTGGCCCTGTGTGTGTGCTGCCAGGGTTCTGGGGGTAATGCTCCAAGTCTGAGGAAGCTTGGAAATCTGCCCCAGGGGGCTCTGACTATCCAGGGTCAGGACAGGGCCAGGCCCCGGGGTGTCTGCAGTGGGGGCTTGGCCACAGCTCACTCCACGGCCTCAGTGATGATCTGGGGGGAGCCCAATCCAGGCTGGAGACGGCAGGTCCCACCAGGCAGCCAGGCAGGCTACAGTGTGTTCTGCAGGGTGAGGACGCTGCTGGCCGGACGCTGGGCTCGCTACGCTGGTCTCCCTAGGAAAATCCCAGCTTTCTGGGAACAGGAAGCCCCCACTTATCACCAGGAAAACAAAGGGGGCGGGGACTGCACAGGCTGTCCCTGAGCTGGAAGGAAAGGTGGGGCTGATTTGGCTGGAGAGTCACATCTCTCATCTGCCCTCTGCTCACAGTCACAGAAGCCTGGGGGCCCAGCCAGGTTGAGGCCTTCCGTGTCAGCCGCCGTCCCTGGGCCTGTCCCACTCAAAGAGGCCCCACAACGGAGGCGGGAGGAGCTCCCCTTGCTGGTGGTAGCCCTGGGCGGGTCCTTGGAGAGAACAGGGGTCCCGCAGCCAAGACCCGCCTGTTCTCTCTCTGCCCTCCTTGTCTTCTCACCTCCTGCCCTGGACGACTCAGTCCAGGCTGCCTCACCTCTTGGGCGGATTTCTACTGCTGCTGCCAGACTGGGTCTTTTCTAAACGCCTGACCAGAATGTGACAGTCCCTTGCTCGACACCCTTCAGCGGCTCCCCGGTGTTGGCAGGATACAACCCAGATGCCTCTGGTGGGCACACACCCACGGTCCGGTGGCACGAAGCCCTTGCAGACCCTGGGGAGCCACACTCCCATCCCCCTCCACGCACGGGCCACCTTAGCTAGGAAAGCTGGGCCCTCCCATCGCCCCTCTTCTCCTAGTTCCCCTGAGCCCCTGTTCACGATACACGGGATGCCACGCGTGCTGTGCCATCGCTGGTCTCCTGCGTGTGGGGACAGAGTGAGGGCTGGAAGCCTGCCCAACAGTACCAAAGGCGCTGTGACAGGGAGGGGAGAGTGTCCCAACTTTCCGCCCGATTCTCTCTCCTCCTGTTTGAATACTGTCTTTGCAAACCCTCAGCTCAGATGTCATTTCCTCTGAGAGCTGCCCCTGCCCTCAGGGCCCTGCCCAGGTCAGGGGCCCTCTCTCACGACACAGGCCACTCGGACCCAGGGCCCTCTGTCCCCGTCTGTGTCCCTCCCCAGACTCCAAGCCCCCTTGCCGCCTTCACCACAGCTCGGGAAGACCACGTGAATGCAGGGTTGACTTGCCCATTTTATAGACAAGCGAGCTGAGGCTCGGAGAACGGAAGCGACTCTGGAGTTGCATGGTGGGAGCCCCGGTGGACAGTCCTCTCCAGTTTGCCCCTGCCGTGCTGCTTCTCCAGTGGGACTCCCGCAGTCTCAGCCCAGCGCTCCTGGGGGCTGAGGTGCAGCAGCAGGCGTACAGAGCAGGGGAGAAGGAGGCCAGAAGGACTGGCCCTAGTGCTCAGCACAGGTCAGTCAGGGCGGGGACAGGAGCCTCCTGCAGGCGGCTAGTCTACTCAGGTCTGCAGAGACTCCTTGACACCTGGGTCAGGTGACGAGGTCCCATGTGACCCCAGAGATTTCCCCACGCTGGTCATGGGGTCGGGGGAAGTAGGGGGACAGATTCTGGAGCCCCAGGTCCTGGATTTTCAGAAAGCAGGGGAGTGAGTAAAGGTCCAGGCACCCAGCTGACGGCTGAGGGGGCAGAGCCTCCCACCCAGGGAGGCAGCCTTCTAGGGTCCCTCATGATGGCCCCAGGGGGCTGTTCCTCCAGGCCCCGTGGAGCGGACCTCTGCCTCAGAGACGGCTCTCTGCAGCAGCGCCTCCTTTTGAGGCCCAGGGGACCTCACGGGGCACCGGCCTGGCCCCGAGGAGCCAGCAGGAGCGGCTCTGGGAGGATGGCAGCTGGACCAAGGAGGCCCAGCCCACAGGACAAGGCATCTCTGCGCGGGCCCCGTGGGCAGGAGTGGCTGCAGGGGAAACGTGGAGGGGCCGGTGAGCGGCTCCAGCTCCCGAGAGCAGAGCAGTGAAGCCCAGCTGGGCGACCAGCACCAGCTCCTCTGGCTGAGGCCTGTCCTCCTCAGGGTCTCGGAATGGCCCGGTCCCACCAAGGGCCACAGCCTGGGCTGCAACCTGGAGGCTGGGAGGTGTTCCTGACAGGCACAGGAAGAGCCTCCAAGTCCAAGCTCAGCATCACTTTCTACCCCTGTGCTGCCCCCCCTGAAGCTTCTTAAAGGGCATCCTGAGAGCCCGCCCCAATCTCTGCCCTCTCCTGAGGACTGTGGGAGGGAGGCTGCCCCGGACAGCGGAGCAGCAGCCAAGGGCTGGCGGGCTGGCCGGCGAAGCGAGAAGACAGGGCCACCAGCCCTCTGTGGCCTGGCCCCCACCTGCCTCTCCAGCCTTCCCATCACCACACACCCCACTTCCCTCTTTGCTCCCTCTGAAAATGTCCCTGTGCTTTCCACAAAGGGGCCTCACGTACATCACTGCTTCCCCCTCAAACACTCTTTCCTGCTTCTCTATTCTTCAGCTCGCGCCTTAGACGTCAGTTCCCACAGGAAGTCTTCTCTCCCCGTCCCCCTCCAGCCAGATGCGCCCCTCTCTAGAGGCGGGCACCTCCCCCGCTCCCTCCCGGCCTCAGCCCCAGCAGTGGCCTTCCCTTCAAGAGGGGAGGGCCAGGCCTCTCTCCCTCTGGGTGCTGTCCCATACACCTAGCCCAGTGCCGGGCACTTAGTATGTTCCCAATAAATATTTGTTGAATGAATGAATGAATGAATGAATGAATGACTATCTGAACCATTAAAAGCCGCTCCTAAAGCACGTGGTAATCCCCAAACCCAGTGGGCGGGGCTCGCCCCTCCCCCACCCCTGGCGTTTCTGCCGAGGAGGCGCGTCCGTCCGTGTGTGCCCCTGTCCAGGCTGCTCACCTTTTGCTTAGCTCCTTCAGGGCTCCGCTTCGGCACAGGCCCAGGTAATCGCCCAGCAGCTTCAGCTGTTCCCGGCTCTGCCCGATGAGATGCATCTGCTCCTCGTGTTCGTACAGAGATGGGTTCACCAGCTGCAGGTTGATGAGCGGATGGGCCCGGATCTGCGTCAGGAACTTCTGGGCCTGCCGGCAGATCTGGGGGCACCACCAGGCGGTGGGGGTGAGCGAGAAAGGCCGCTCAGTGCCCAGCCCCGGGCCGGGCACTGTGTCACCCACTCGCTCCCTCACTTACCCTACAAGGGCCACCTTCATTCTACAGATGAAGAGACTGAGGTTCAGAGGGAGGCAGTGACTCATCAAGGCCAAGATGCGAACCCAGCTGATCTGAGAAGGTGTGACCCTCGCACCTTCTCTCCCTCCGTGGCACCAGCTGCCGCCCCGCAGACCACGCTGGTGGGGACGAGAGAGGGGCCCCTCTCCCCGGGGCCTCAGGGACTTTTCCCACTTCTCCCCCTCCTCCCAGCCTCCATGTTCCTACCTAAAGGAAACAGGCACGTCCCCCGAGCTGACGCGGGAGCAGGAGACCTGATCTGGGTCAGGAACCGACCACAGGAAGCCACAGATCAGACATGGCTTAGCGAGAGGCTTCCCCACTTCCCTCCGCTCTCGCCGGAAGCACCCCTAAGGCTCCCCCAGCCTCCCCAGACTCCAGCGGCCAATCTCAGACCTGACAGGGCATAAAGGTTCTACCCTCAGGCCCCACCCCAGTGCCGAGGCCAATTGTTGAGCTCCTACTGTTTGCTAGACACTGGGCTGAGGACCTTGACCACATCTTTTCTTCCTCCTCGTAACAACCCGAAGGGGAAGGTGCCATCGTTTCTACTTTATCGAGGAAGAAACTGAGGCTCAGAGAAGCTCGAGACGCTTACCTGGCCCACCTGCAGGAAGTGGAGACCAGGCCTAACCTGCCACCAGGACTCCCTCCACACACACTAGCAGGGCCCTTTCTCCCGAGGTCGTCCCCTTGCTGTCACAGGAACAGGAGAGAGGAGACACTCTCCACTGTCAACTACTGGGCGGCAGTTAGGAGTCCGGCTTTCAAGGCAGACTGGCGCTTGAATCCCGGCTCTACTGCTTCCCAGCTGTGTGACCTTGTGAACCTGCCTTAATCTCTCTGCGACTCAGCTTCCTCATATGTATAAAGGAAAAAATAAAGCACTTGTCTCCTGGGATGATTTGGAGTTTAAAGAATGATCCAGGTAAGCTCCTGGCAGGGCGGCAGTAGGGTATCCTGGTGAATGGGACTGCCACCCGACTCTGAGTGTGTGTTGCGGACCAGCTGCCTGCCCCCTGGAGGGTTGGGAATGGCACAGTGGGCTGGGGAGACTTGTGGCCTTTGGTCTACCACCAGCTCCATGGGCATCTCTCGCCTCCCCCAGTATGGGCAACTCCTTCTGTCCCATTTCCCGGAGGTACCAGCCCCCGGCCAGTGGCAAAGCCCCAGCGACCTGGATCTAGCTGCTGTGCCTCAGCCCCGGCCAGGCCCTGCCCACGACTCAGCCTCAGGCCTTGTGCTCCCTAGGGACTAGGGTTTCTATCCCATGGGTGCGGGGGAGACGGAGAAAGAGAGCAGCCCCGCCCTGGCCTCACACCCTGCCAAGTGCCCGGCAGGCCTCACCCAAGTGGGTCAACCTGAGTGGTCATGGTGAGCAGTGAGGCCCCCAACCTGCGAGCCGGCCACTGTCTAGTTTGCATTTCCCAATCTCAGATGTGCCGAGAAGAGCACTGTAATTTTCTGGCTGGAAGGAGGAAGTGGTACAAGAATTACAGCAACGGATGAGGAGGTAGCTCAGTGGAAGCATCCGGGTGCTGTGGACGCCGAGCGCTCTGTGGCCACAGGGTTCTTTGCATCTGTGGTGATTCTGAGGTTTGATTTTCTCCATGTTGTTAGTCAAATACTTGATGCTGAGGGTAAGGGTGGGGACGACGTAACCGACAAAAAAAGCCAAAGTGAAGCTGATACCTTTGGGGTTGCTGTCCCCAGCGGGGCTGCAGAGAGGCTGGGGTGGCATGAACCCTCAGGATCACATTCCCCGCACTTTGGTGAGAGAACAAGGGGCAGGAGGAGGGCCGTGCCCTAGGAGAGGGGACGGGCGTTGATGTCAGGTGCCATTGAAGTGCCCGGAGGGCACTGTCCCCTTCAGTCCTCACACAAGCCTGAAATGGGCAGTTGTTAACCCCCTTTCCAGGTGAGGAAGCGGAAATTAAATCATTTGCTCCTGGTAACACAGCCAGAAAAGTGGGCAAACGCAGCTGGAGGACAGGAACCCTGACTGATCGTGGAGGGCATCTTAGTCAGAAGGGGCTGGTGGACACAAGTACGGAAGACACAATAGTAAGTGAACACAGCATGTTGAAAGCAGTAAGAGTCTGGCACAGCCCGACTTGACAGGAGCAGATGTGTATGCAAATATAATACGTGCACGGTGCCGACTCTTACGGGAAGTAACCTCACACGCCAATCTGGTCCTCAACTGCTGTCCAGGCAGGTCACCGTGACTACCTGCAGAGCCGCGCCCCAGGCCTGTGACTTCTTTAGTGGAAGGTTTACCTAGGCCTGAAGCGAGCCCTGTCTCCTGTGCCCGTGCATCCGGGCGAACGCACCTTTGGAATGACTCTCTTCACCAGACCCCTCCTCCTACAGAGTGACCACCCGCGAGCACACGCAGTCTCGTCACCTGTCCTGTCGTCCAGTCCCTGCCTTGCTTTCTCCCACCTTCACGCCATCCTCATTCCGGTCCCTCTTCGATTCCGGTGTGTAAAAGGAAGTGCAAAACTGTCTTGCTTCCCGGTCACTGCCATTCGTTTTTTACGTCAACGGAAAAGGCAGACTGCTCCAAGGGGAAGTGCAGCTGGCTGGCCAGCCCATCCTCCATCCACCCATCCATCATCCGTCCACCCATCCATCCATCCATCCATCCACATCCATCCATCCTTCCATACTCACCCACCCACCCACCCATCCATCCAACTATCCAGTTGCTGGTGCCTGAAACAGTTTTGTCTGTAGCCGTGGGAAGAGCATCCTTGGATTCCCGCCTGAGGACCAAGGCGGGCCCTGAAAGAGCTCCACGCAGGGGCCACAGGAAAACACCAAGTTTCTTCTCGGTCAGCGGCCCCCCATCAGGGGCCTGAACCAGTGACCCTGCTCTCCCCAGAGTCTAACTCCTCCCTGCAGAGGCCAGCAGCAGCAGAGAGGGCGACCATTTCTCTGCCATTCAGCAGCCCCTTCAGTGTGGCCATAATGGGCTGGGCTCGAGACTTACCGGGCGCTTGGTGAGGTCCCAGTTGTGGATGATCCTGGCTGGAATCACTGAGGCATCGTCTTGGTGGCAGAAGTCACAGTAATAGAGGCCAGAGAAGGCACAGAGCTTGGGTCGAACAAACGAGAAGCCGATCTGCCGGGAGCAGCCTGGGGAGAGTGAGCAGATGGTGGGGGAGTGAGCAGCGGTGCAGCCAGAGCCAGCTCCCCAGTGACTTGGAGGAAGCTACTAAGGTGGAAGGGCCTGCTATTTAAGGAGAGTATAAAGGTTGAAAAAAAAAAAAAAAGAGTACGAGGGTGAGAACCACCGCCACTCAGAGTCAACCCCATTCATTAATCTTCACGAGAATCCAAAGTTGGGTTTTGTTGGTTCTGGAGCCTGCGCTCCGTGTCCCCGCTGCGTGCTGACCAGTGCTGACCTCCTCCTGGCCTGTCCCGCCACTGGGGCCCAGAAAAGGAAGCAAAAGGCAGGACCTTGGCCAGCAGGGCAGGAGCTGGGGACATGGGGCAGTCTGGACGCTGCCAGGTGCCAGCCTGAAGCCAGAGCTGCTGGGGTCCTCGGGGCGGCAGCGTGGGGCCCAGCTGCAGCCCCTCAGTGGGGGTGCCCCCAGGCGGGGAGCAGAGGGAGTGGGAGCCAGTGTGCCCCGGGCAAGGCAAGGGCCCGGCTCCAGTCCTGAGCAGTGCACAGCCTCCCTCGCACGGGGCCAGGGGAAAGAGTCCCTTCCGGCCTCAGGACTAGAAAGACCACTCCTCCGCTTACCAGTTACCTCGTCCTGACCCTCACTGAACTTTTGCCGAGTTTCATTCCGGTATCTGTACAGTTCGGCTACTACCGGCTATTCTGTGGGGTTATTACAAAGTTTAAATGAGACCAGTTTTGAAAGTGCCCCACTAACTATGAAGAACAAGCCAAGTGGCAGTGCTTGGTGCCTGCCTGGCCCCTGAGCTGTGCTTACAGGCGGAGAGGAAGCCCAGGCTCCTGGGTTCCAGTCTTGCCCACAGGTGGGTGGCAGGGACAGCGAGAGCCGTCCCTTCCAGCCTGGCCAGCACTCATCCACACCCACAAGCTCGAGCTGCCTCGCCAGGTGGGAGGGCTGAGGCTTGAAGAAGTTTTCTGCAGGAAGCTCTGCCCTGTCTAGCTTCTCCCGCCCTCCAGGGTACTGACCACAGACCACTTCCTCCCAGACACCTGAAGCAGGCTTTCCCCTCCAGTCCCACCGGCCCCACCCCAACGGGACTGCTCCCACACCACTCGCAGCCGAGGCTGTTGCTTGGACGCTCTGCCGCAGGCAGGCTTCGAGCAGCTCACCGGGAGGGCTGGGGTGATGGAAGTGGCTGGTTCCACTGAGGGGGAGAGCTAAAGATGGAACGTGAGCCGTGGAGTATCAGGCAGCCTTGAAAACAAGGAAGAGGAGGGCCAATGGGGACCTGTGAAGAGCGCAGGCTCTGGGACCAACACGGTCCTCACCTGGCTCCACCACTGACCACCTGTGAGGACCTGGGACAGGTTCTTACCAGCCCTGTGACTCAGTTTCCTCGGCTACAGACAGAGATAAGAGTAGCAGCGATCCCTACAGGGTGGTTGTGAGGATTAAATGGACGATCCAAACAGACTTGAGAAGCATCTGGCCCAACACCCAGCACAGAGGTAGGCTGGACAATGACAATGACATAGAAGATGGACTGACTTGGAATAATGTCCACAATGTATTTTTAACTAGAAAAAAAATCCAAGTTGCAGGACAATATATATACTGCTATGCTGTCCAACACGGTGGACACGAGACACGGTGCCCTTTTAAATTTAAATCAACTTCAGCCCTGGCTGGTGTGGCTCAGGGGACTGAGTGCCGGCCTGCGAACGGAAAGGTCTCCAGTTCTGTTCCCAGTTGGGGCACATGCCTGGGTTGCGGGCCGGGTCCCCAGTGGGGGGCACGGGAGAGGCAACCACACAGTGATGTTTCTCTTTCTCCCTCCCTTCCCCTCTCTCTAAAAATAACTAAAAATAAATACATTTAAAAAATTTAAATCAACTTCAATTAAATAAAAAATTCCGCTCTTTAGTCACATCTTACGGACCCATAGCCACAGGTGGCTTGTAGCCAGTGAATTGCTCAGCAGAAATCTATGACCTTTCCATCAACACAGAAAGTTGTACTGGACAGTGCTGAGTAGCATGAGACTATTTCTGTAATTAAAAAAAAAATTGTGTGCACTTGTAAGAGCAGGCAAAAGTTCGTGAGAGGGTACCACGCCCCTGCTCCCAATAATACGATCATGCTGTGATATGGCGATGAAGACAGTGGAGCGCCCCGCTCCCCGGAACTCCCTGGGCGCTGGGAGGAGCAGACGCGCTTTGCTGCCACAGCTGCAACAGCTGCAAGCAGCCTCATTTGCTGCAACACCCCAGGAGTGGGATGGGGCCACTGGAGGAGGGACAGGAAGGGGTGCAGAGCCTCAAACAGGAACCCCCCCCACCGGAGACAGAGGGAGGCTGGGGAGCTGGGGGTGGCGGGAGGGCGAGTCGGCACCTGCACAGAAGCAGCCCTGGGAGTCCAGGCCCTTCTCCGTGGGGATGGCCACCAGGTACCGCAGCAGGAAGCCGTTCTCCCCCGTGGCGAACTTCAGCACCTCCTGACAGTTCTCATCCAGGCTCCCGCCCAGCGTCACTGCCTCCTCGGCTGTCTCCAAGTAGGACGCCAGGACCTTGCGCACCAGATCCCTCCAGGAGGCGGCCTCCTCCGTGGTGCTGGCCTGCAGCTTCAGGACAGCCTTGGCCGTGATGATTTTGAAGAAGGATGGGCCCCCGAGGCTCGTGTCTGGCAGGATGTCTCGTATGGTCTCAACTCCGTGGCTGTCACTCAACATCTTGTCATTGTTCCTCACGCGAAAGCATTTCAAGGACTCCAAGGACAGGGAAAAAATGTAGGGTGTCCAGGTCCTGTCTACGTACAAGTACAAGAGGGATTCTTTGATGGCGTCTGGCTCGGGCACTTGGGCAGAGGACCAATCGAACTGCGTGCCCTGGAGGGTCTCGGGCTCCGAGAGCGCGTCCGAGTGGGAGGGGAGGCCGCCCTGGGGGCCGTCAGGGAGGCCGTCAGGCTGCTCTGGGTACTGGACGTTCACCCACTCGTCCTCCTGCTGGGGCCGGCACTTCTGCAGGGCCTCCCGCACCCGGTCCAGCCAGTCCTCGGCCTCGTCCTGGGAGGAGGCCCGCAGGCTCAGCTTCTTGCCGGAGAAGACCAGCTCGAAGCGGCCGTCGCTGTGGGCCGGCCCCACGGACTCACAGCGCAGCAGCGAGCAGTTCTCCACGCAGGTGCGCTCCTCGCCGTTCAGGTAGAGGCGGAACTCCAGCGGGGAGAGCTCACAGAAGAGCTCCTTCCAGATGCCCATCGCTCCCCGCCGCCCCACGGTGCCCAGCTTCAGGAGACCCCGGAACGGGTTGGACAGTCCTGGAGGCAGAAAGAGGCACTTTAGACAATGGGCCTGTCCCTTTACCACCTAAAGAAAAAAATCTGTGGAGCCCTTTGTCCTGTGGGTGCAAAGTGACTGTCACCGGGACACAAGCCAGGCACTTTTGCTCTGAAGGACACAGCAGCCACTGCGGGGTGTCAGGCAGAGGGACGTGATCTGACATATTCTAAATGGGGGAGTCATCCTGGCTCCAGGTTGAAGAACTACAGGGGTCAAAGACCAGTTCGGAGCCTGCTGTCATAACCCAGGCCAAGGCCCTGGCTGGCGTGGCTCAGCGGATTGAGTACCAGCCTGTGAACCAAAGGGTTGCTGGTTCGAGTCCCAGTCAGGGCACGTGCTTGGGTTGTGGGCCAAGTTCACACAACCCAAGCACTTGACAGGCAACCACACGTTGCCATTTCTCTTCCTCTCATTCTCTCTTTCTTTCCCTCTCTAAAAAATGAATAAATAAAATCTAAAAAAAAAAAAAAAAAACAAACCAACCAGGCCAGGGGTGTCAGTGAACCCGTGAGAAGAAGGCAGAGGTGTGAGAAGTGGGAGACTCTGCGTGTGCGGCAGGATCTACTGGTGGGTTTGATGTGTGGGGTGAAGCAAAGAAGACCAAGGGTAACTCCCAGGGTGTTCAGCCCCGGCATCTGGGAGGATGAAGTTGGCCGTGTTACGACACGAGGAACATGAGCAGAGAAGCAGGTGTGGAACGGGAGAATCAGAAGTCCTTTCTGGACATGTCACCTCAGAGAAGCCTCCTAGACATGGGTGGGGCAGATGGAGAGCTGAATGTGAAGTTCACGGTCAAGGTTCACAGATAAAACCTGGGCAGTTGCGGCATTAAGTCCTCGAGAGCGGGTGAGATCAGCTGGGAAGTGGGTGTCGGCAGAGAAGAGGACCCAGGACTGGGCACAGGAGCGCAGCGAGGGAACCGCGGAGCTCGCCCGATGCTCCCTCCCTCCCTTCGCATCTCCTCAAATGGCGCCGGATCTGCGGGGCTTGCTGGGCCACCCTGCACGAAACACTGCACTCCGGCCGGCACTCCCCGACTTGTTCTCCACAGCAGTTAGGACTGCCTGCCCATACCATGTCTGCTCGCTGATTTTCTCACTTCCTGTCTCTTCCATGAAGCCAGGGACCTTGCTTTCTCTCCTGCGGTGTCCCTAGCGCCTGCCACATCACAGTGCTCAGTTAATATTTGCTGAATGAGTGAGGATGTGCCCATATGCCACACACTGCTCAGAGCTCCCTGCTCCCGGGGGTCTGCCACCAGAGGGCACACAATTCCCCCTCTCCCAGCCTGGACCACTGCAGAGGGTCTGCCCACTCCTCAGGGAACCTGGTGACCCAGGCACAAAGCACACCTTCTCCAGCATGGTTACAACCAAATCTGCTGGCCAGCAGAAAAACCTAAAAGCAGCCAGCACGGAGACCAGGGCTGTACCCACACTCCCCATGCCAGGGCCCCAGGAACCTGGCCAGAGTTCTTGGCTGGGCCACTGCAAACAGAAAATGAGAGAAAGAGCTTGGCTCTAGAGCACACTTGTTTGTTTGATTGAAAGAGGAAGTTCACTTATGATGGTTACAGAAAATTAGGTTATGGTTATTGGGCGCATTCTGGACTTCACGGGGCGGGGCAGGGGGGAGATCGGGCCGGCCTCAGTGCAAGCGGCACACGGAGGCCACTGAACTGATCTGATAAAGCCCCCAGAACTGTTAAATGAACCACGTGAGACAGCGGCTGTGGGAAGGAACCTTGGGGGCCTTCGAGAGGCAGGGTTTGCTCTGGTCCCCAGACAGAATCAAGAGTTCTGTATAGCAAGATTTACGGGGTAGTCTCAGGGAGAGTATTTTCCACTTCAATATAAGAAGCAGTAGTTCTGCACTCTGTAGGTAACTGGGGACATTACTTTGCAAAGTTGTGTACGAAAACAAAGTACCTTCCCTGCAATGCTTTCGTCAATGACTCGGTAAGGGTGGCTCCTTTTTACATTCCGGGATGAGGGTTTTCTGGTGAGAAGTCACCCCCCAAGCGGTAAGGGAAGAGAGGACTTCGGAGCTGCTTTCCAAAAGGCAGACCCCGAAGGGAGGCCGCCCGAGCCCCGCGGCCACCTACCCATCTGCCTGCGGTGCACCACCCGGAAGATCTTGGGCTCCCGCGCCGCGGCCGCCTTGCTCTTCCTGGTTCCCAGGGAAGGCGTGCAAGCTTCGTCTAAGGCGCCCATGGAGGAGCTCTTTCTTGGCCCTTGAGAAAAATGCCTGAGGAACCCAGGCGTGGACTCTGGAGACCCCCCGGAAGAAGCCACGGAGCTATCGGACGGACTGGAAGGACTCCCTGGGGGTCGTTCCTGGGGGGGCCGGTAGAAGTCATCTTCCGAGATCCAGCTCTTGCCTTTCTATTAGGAAAGAAATAAAGACATAGGCCATTTTTTAAGGTTTTTTTTAACCGCCTTCATTGAGATATTTGCAGAGTTGGGCAACCGTTAACCACTAAGTGGAGAACACTCTCGTTACTCACAAGGCAACTCCGTTCCCATCACCCCGCACTCCTCTTTCTCCTCAGCCACTTCGGTTCTTGGCAGGCAACTCATCATGTGCTTTCTGTTTCCACAGGTTTCCCATTTTGGACATTTCATGTAAATGAAATCTTACAACATACGGCCATGTTTAACTGGCTTCTTTCCTCTTAGGAAAATACAATGCGTTCGTCCACGTTGTAGCAAAAACGTGCTTCATTCCTTTTCATCACCAAATAATATTCCAATGGACAAATGGACCGCATTTTGTTTATCCCCCTGTCGGCTGATGGACACCTGGGTTTTTCCTGCTCTTTGGCAATTACGAATAATGCTGCCGTGAACATTCACATGCAAATTTTTGTGTGGATGTGTTTTCTACTCTCTTGGCTATACACCCAGGAGTGAAATGAACGGTAACCAGGGCTAGCTTTCTGAGGCCCTTCCACACTGTTTTCCTAAGTGGCTGTACCATTTATATTCCCACCAGCCACGTACGAGGGTTTTGGTTTCTCCAAGGCCTCTCCAGCATTTGTTATCGTGTGTGTGTGTGTGTGTGTGTGTGTGTGTGTTTGACTACAGCCATCCTGTGTCTGTGTCTGTAATGTCTGATGTCCCCGAGCATCTTCTCGTGGGTTTCCTGGTCCCCTGAACGTCTTCTTTGGAGAAGAGCATGGAACCGAGTCTTCCCTGAACTGCAGAAGTAACCAACCCTGCCAACGTCTGGATTTTGGACTTCTGGCAGAGAATGCATTCCTGTCATTCTAGGCCATCCTATTTACAGGACTCTGTAACAGACCCCCTAGAAAACAAATATAATTTGCAAATAAGTTCTCCAATTCTATAGGCTGTCTTCTCACTTTCTAGATGGCACCCCTCGAGGCACAAAATTTTAAAGTTTTGATGAAGTCCAATTTCTGTTTTTTTTTTCCTCTGTGCTTTTGGTGTTATACCTAAGAAACCAATGCCTAACCCAAGGCCACGAAGATTAATTTACTCCTGTCTTTTCTGCTGAGAGCTTTATAGTTTTAGCTCTCAGAATTAGGTCTACGATCTATTTTGAGTTAATTTTGTGTATGGTGTGAGGAAGGGGTCACCTTTATTCTCTTCTTTGCGGATATCCAGCTCCCAGCATCATTTGTCTAAGGGATGTAGGTGTTTTCGGTCCTGCTTATCGGGTTTGAGATAAGGTGAGCAGGACCCAGAGTCCTGACTGGCCGCCCCGCCTCTGCGCCCCACTGCAGAGCAGGCGCCCGAGGCCCCGCGGCCAGACCCTTCCCCTCCTGCGGCTCCCTCTCCACGTCTGAAATCGCTCACTGGCTGTGGGACGTGGAGTGGGTCTGGAGCCGGGGGCTTGTGGGAAGGGATTCTAGCTCCTTTCTCCCCTGCTATTTCAAGCACTCCCGGCCTTTCTGAGCGTAAGTGTGTAAGGGCATAGGCAAGGAAGCTGGCCGGGCCACCGGACACGGCTGTCTACACAGAGGAAATGAGTCACGAGCGGGGTGGGACCGGCCCTCGTGTGACTCAACCTGATGTTGCTATTTCCAACCCTTAAATCAGGACTTCCCTCCCTGCTCCCACAGAGAGGGAAGGGGAGCGGGGCTGGGGCTTCCCCAGAAGGCTTGGCTTAGACAAGTTAGTTCATTCAGATGCTGTAAGGCTCCTTCAGCCAACAGGGAGGGCTCTGAGTCAGGCGCTTGGCACAGGGGCTCGCAGCGCGAGGCCTCCAGGACTTCCTCTGAAAACCCGCAGCCAAGGCAGCCGCTTCCTTCTGCCAGTGACGACAATGCCAGTGAGGGCGGCTGCAGGGGACCACTGACAACACAGGATTCTGGACAAAGCCTGACGAGGTCGTTTAGACTCAGGGGGACTCCCTGAGGAAGATGGGCAGCAGCAACCTCCTGGAGGTCTGGGCCGCTCACGCAGCCTGGCACACACGCCCGGGGGTCTGTGACCTCCCAGGCCCTGCTAATGACCCAAATGGGACCACTATGCACCGAGACTCAGCTCAGGGGTCATCTATGTACAGTGGCCACCACCCTTTTTGTCACCAGGGACCGGTTTCATGGAAGACAAGTTTTCCGCGGAGGCAGGGGGAGGGCAGGGGAGGAGAAATGGGAGGCGGAGCTCAGGCGGAGGTGAGAGCAAAGCTCTGTGGGCGCGCCCGCCGCTCACCTGTGGCTGTGCAGCCAGGTCCCAACAGGGCACGGACCGGTACCGGTCCGCCGCCTGGGGACCGGGGACCCCTGATCTGCTGCCTCCTCCCGGAGTCTTTCCTTCTTCACCCCTGGCCCGCCCTCCTCCCACTGCCCAGCTGGGCTCCCGGGGCATCCTCGTCTGACTCCCATCCCAGGACCTATGACGCTGTTCGGTGCAGTCAGAACGGATGAAAGCACAGGTCTTGACTTTCCAAACATGTTTAACATAGAATGACAAGGGCGGGGCGAGGGAACGGGAAGGAAGGAGGCGCATGCGCATTCTGACATGGTGCACGGTCCCTGGGGAGGGCACCTCTGTCCACGGCGGCGGGTGGGGGAGGCTACTGGGGAAGGGGCAGCCGTGCTCCAAGGACCACAGGTTAGCCACCAGGGAACAGTACTTTAAGGAAAACCTTTTGTGCCCTTAAGCACTGGAGAGAAACAGCGGGGACACTGGGTCCTTAGAGCTTCTATACACGGGCCTGGACCCAGCCCTGCAGCTGTGCCCTGCGCCAGGGCCCCTGGTTCCAAAGCAGAGAGGGCGGCAGGGGAAGGCAGGAAGCACCACGATCGTCCTCCTCCCACCCCTTTCATACGGCCTTCCTACTACCTCCTGCTCTCCTGGGCGCCCGCGTCTGGCCAGTTCCCTGCCCCTGAATCACCATGGCCAAGGATCTCGGTCAGAGCAGCGCCTGCCGCCAGGGACCCAAGACAGAGGAATGCCACCTGGAGGTACTGAAGGCAACTGGGACACTTTACGCAACAGCTCACCCGAGAGGAGTCTGGCCCGGGAGTGGGATACCAGGTCTCTGGACAGCCATCAGAAAGGCGTGTTTTGCCCTGCCTGGGGGAGGGAAGCGAGTGCTGGAGGAGGCTGGCCCGTGAGGGCTGTGACTGGGGCCAGCTCCCAGGCTGCAGACTGCCTTCCACAACTAGGCTGAGCGACCGACCCACGCCTCCCCACGCCCTGCGCCTTTCCTTCCCCGCGCTCCCACAGTGTAATCACGACATCGGACCTGGTGTCTGTACCCAAAGAGCAGGGCCCTTGTCTGTCCGTGCCGTTCCTGTACCAGGCACTGTTGCTTTGAACTGAATGAATTTTTTTAAATTTTAAAGGAAGACTGAATGGCGCTTGGGATTAGAAAACTTGGCCGTGAACTCCCCTCCCGAAGTGGTAAACAAATAGCAGTGACTCAGCGACAGGAGCGCAGGAAGCTGAGGACCCTGGAGGCAGCACCCAGGGCACAGCCTGACCCTGCACAAGGCACGGAGCCCACCAGGCCGGTGCGGGCAGGCAGCCACACAGTGGCGCCTGGTGACCACCCAGTGGAGCAATGAATGGGCCCACAGCGCCCCTGGGGATGTGGGTGCCCGTCTGAGGAGCTCGCACCTGACTCAGCAGCAGCGGGGACTTGGGGTCCACGTTACCCAAGCAACCCTGCTGCGGCCAGACTCCCCTGAGGCCCGCAGGAGGCGGGGTCTGCCCTGGCCAGGCCCACCGCCCACCCCTGCACTTGGTGGTGCGCTTCTCAGGGTAAACTTACAAGCTGGCATTTCAAGAGTCCCCTGAGAGTTCGAGAACTATTAACGGATACCCACTCTCTCCCAGGTACAGTGCTTGGAGCTGACAATACAGAAGTGAACACACAGCCTTTCATGTCATGGAGCCAACAGGCTAGTCAGGAAGACAGAAAACAAACAAGCAGACGAGGAGAGAGATACTGCAATTTCACACGGTGATGAGAGTTACACAGTGAAGCCGGTAAATGGGAGAGAGAGCCGCAGCTGCTTTGAAGTCGGGTGGTAGGGGCCAGCGGGGAGGACAGTGTGGAGAGGGAGTGAGTCAGACGAGGGTCCAGGCAGAGGGCACGGACGGGGAAATGCCTGGGGCTGGAAGGAACTTGCTCCGTCAGGAGCTGCAAGAAGGCCAGGGGGTCAGAAGCCGGTGAGCAGAAAGGGCAGTGCTGACGTACCCGATGCGAGGACCACACAGCACAAGCACCGCCAGCAACCTCGGCAGTGCGTACTAAAGCTAAAACACACGCTACCCAAGACCCAGCAATTCCACTGCTACATATATACCCACGGAAACGGGGCACGGGGCCCTGGCCGGGGAGCCCAGCAGGTTAGAGCATCATCCCGATACGCCAAGGTTGCGGGTTCGATCCCCGGTCAGGGTGGGTACAAGAATCGCCCAGTCAATGCATCAATAAGTGGAACACAAAGTCAATGTTTCTCTCTCTAAAAATCAATAAATTAAAAATCATAGTTAAAAAAATGAGTAAAGGGGCTCACCGCAAGGCAAGTACAAGGTTGTACACAGTGGCTTTCTTCATGATAACCCCAAACCTGGACACAGCCCAAATGTCTGTGAGCGGTACCATGGAGAAACACATCACGGTACATTCTTACTATAAAAAATACCACAGAGCAACAGAAAAGACCAGGTTACAGCCCCACGCTGCATGTGCAGTTCGCGAATCTCACACATAATTTTCAGTGACAGAAGCAAATGAGTAGACACTGCAGGACCCCATTTACATCAAGTTCAGCGACAGGAAGAATGAACCTCTGGTTTCCTCTGATGGGCTGCAGATCCTCTCCGCCCCAATCTGGGTGGCGGCCACAGAGTGCATGTCACGTGTGATCGCTCGCTGAGGGGCACCCGAGGGGCTGGGTGCCTGCAATGCGTCACGTCCCAGAACTTTCTAAAAGGGGGACGTGGGAGTCTGGCCGAGAAACAGCGCTGCTCCAATTGGCTATGCAAATGATGCGGCGGGGCCTCAGCCTATACCACATATAAAATTAACTCAAAATGGACCCCAGATCGAAATGTACGGACTAAGAACAACAATAAAAAAATACAAAAAAAGAACTAAAACTATAAAAATTTTAGAGTAACACACAGGAGTAAATCTTCATCACGTGGCTAGGAAATGGGGACTTAGATGCAACCCCAGAGCACAAACAACAAAGAAAAAAATAGATAAATCAGACTACACCAAAATTCAAGACTTTTATGCTGCAAATGATACGATCAAGAAAGTGAAAAGAGCCCTTGCTGGGTGGCTCAGTTGGTTGGAGCACTGTCCCATACACCAAAAGGTTGCTGGTTCGATCCCCGGTTGGGGTGCATACTTAGATTGCAGGTTTGATCCTTGGTTGGGGAGCATATGGGAAGCAACCGATCCATGTTTCTCTCTCTCTCTCTACTTCTCCTCCTCCTCTCTCTCTCTCTCCCTTCCTCTCTCTCTAAGATCAATAAAAAGATCCTCAGGTGAAGATCTGAAAAAATTTTAAAAAAGCAAAAAACCAACTCACAGAATGGGAGAATATATTAGCAAATTACATATCTAATAAGAGTCTAGGATCCAGAATGACACCCTAATGATACCCTAATAAATTCAATAGAAAGTAAAAGAAGAAAACCTTATTATAACTCAATAATAAAAAGACAGATAACCCTGGACAAAGGTTCTGACTACATTTCTCTACAGAAGATAATACCGAAATGACAATAAGCACGTGAAAAGATGCTGAACATCACCGACCATCAGGGACATGCAAATCAAAGCCGTGATGAGATGCCACTTCCCACCCACTAGAGTGGTGGCGACGACAATGACGACGATCAGAGCTGCCGGTGAGCACGCAGAGGAAGTCACTGCTGGTGCGAATGCAAGGCGGGCGCCTGCCCTGGAACACGGTCTGGCAGCTCCTCAGACGGGTAAACGGAGTCAGGATCCCGGACTTCACCCCCAGGTGTGCATCCAAGAGATTCAAAAACACGCCCACCCAAAACCTTGTACATGAGTGTGCATCACAGCATTATTCGTAACAGCCAAGAAGCGGTGGGGGGACCCGCCAAATGTCTATCAGCTAATGAAGGATAAATAGAACGTGATGTATTCATATGATCAAATCTACAATGAAATACCACTCAGCAGTGAAAAGGAATGGAGCAGGGACGCATGCGATGACATGGACAAACCTTAAAACATTACGCTAATTGACAGAAACCGACTTCAAAGGGTTACGTGTTATAAGATTCTACCATGTGACATGTCCGGAAGAGCATATCTACGGACGGAGCAGACGAGTGGTTGCCGGGGGCTGCGGGGAATAAGGCGGGGGAGGGGAGAAGGCTGGAGAGTGCCTGCTAGTGGGCGGGGATTTCTTCGATGGGAGATAAAAAGGTTTTAAAATTGGAGATTGGTCATGGTTGCAAATCCCTGTGAATATACTAAAAAAAATTCTATAATTAGGTGCATTGTATGGTGTGTGAGTTATATTGCCGTAAAGCTGTTTTAAAAGGGTGTGTGTATGTGCCTCTTTTAATCTGTTTCATGGCCCCGGTCCCATCCTGGGTTATAGGATCTGGAGGCTACTGTCCCAAGGACAGACGTGCATGGACGGAGCTGAAGAGCGAGACCACTGCCGACCTGAGCCCCAGGCAGCGGCCGGGGTAAATTCCATGCTTCACAAGTCCACCGCACACGTGCGCGCTGTCCCTACCTCTGCATTCCGTGACACAAAAACACACGTCAAGCGACGGCCTGGGTGCAGGGGCTTGACTGCGGCTCCTCAGGGCCACTGGCGCTCAGCCCCACGGCCCACGGCCACTCCCAGGACCGACGTGCCTCCGGTGACCTACAAACCGCACTGGCTTACTGGGGGGGGGTGCTGTTCACCAGAAGCACAACATGGGTCACACGTGTCATTTTAAATATTCACGAGCCAACCCTGGCTGTGTGTGTGGCTCAGTAGATTGAGCGCCAGCCTGGGAACCAAGGGGTTGCCGGTTTGCTTCCCAGTCAGGGCACAGGCCCGGGTTGCAGGCCAGTTCCGCAGCAGGGGGTGTGTGCAAGGCAACCACACACTGATGTTTCTCTCCCGATATTTTCCCCTCCTTTCCCCTCTCTAAAGATAAATAATCTTTAAAAAAATGTCCTAGTAGCCACGTTTTAAAAAAAGTAAAAAGAAGCAGGTGAAATTGATTTTAATAATGTATTTTATTTCACCCAATTGACCCAAATACTTTTCATTTTGATACTAATGAGAAGCCTCACATTCTTTTTCCAACACTAAGTCCTCAAACCCCACTGTGCGCCTCACACAGCTCACCCGAATTCGACAGCCACGTTCCAGGTGTTCAGCAGCCTCACGTGGCCGGTAGCTGTCAAACTGGATAGTACAGTCCTGTTTTTCCTTCTCTCTTTTAAAGGATTTTATTTATTTATTTATTTTTAGAGAGAGGGGAAGGCGGAGCGGGAGAGAAACATCAACGCGTGGTTGTCTCTTGCACCCTACCAGCCAGGGACCTGGCCCGCAACCCAGGCATGTGCCCTGACTGGGAACTGAACTGGTGATTCTTTGGTTTGCAGGCCGACACTCAACCCACTGAGCCACACCAGCCATGGCTGGATAGCACAGCTCTAAATCTGGATCATGTTGCAAAATGAGTATTTTCAAAGGTTTTAGATAAAAATACTGATGAATTAATCACAAGTGAGGAGAAGGAGACCAAGGTCCAGGGAGATGACGTGCCTTTCGCCCAAGGCCCGGAGGTGTTAAGCGTCAGCAGCTGAGTGGAGATTCTGCGGTGAAATGAGATCTTCTCCCAGGGGCAACGTGAAGATAATAAACAGGAGGAACCCCTGGGAACCGAGCGGCACGGCATCCGCCACTCACACACCGAGAAACATTAGCTCTGTCATCACGGTGCTGTTCACACTAACACCACGCAGGCAGACGGGGTAAGTGGGGAGAAGGCAGAGACATTTCACCAGGACCCCCCACCCCCAGAACAGCCTGTCCCACTCACCGGACTGGTTGGGGAGGAAACCGTGGGGCTCAGTGCAGCTCCGCCACCCACCGAAGGCTTCTGCTGGCCACTCCCTTGGCCGACTGCTCTCACGGGACCAGAAGGCTGCTGGTCTGATGTGCTTCCCAGAGTGACAGCACGGTCAGTGCCCAGATGCTGCAAGCCCAGGGAGCCAGGTGTCTGGGAAGGTGGCTCCTGAGTGTGGCCACCATCCCCGGCCCCAGAGGCTGCTCGGGGAGGGAGGGGCTCTGCAGGTGCATCGAAGTGCAGGTGTGTGCTGGTGTCGAGGCGGGCGCCATGGAGGGACAGTGAGGCCTCCAGTGTGGGGATCCCCGGTTCTTGGCTCAGTCCGTTGGTTGGCACAGAGTTTACCTGGGCTTTGCTGAACTCCGACAACACCCTAGAAGGTTTCAAACAAAGAATCCTGTGTGACAGGTTGTCAGCTGGAATGCCCAAGGCCCTGGGGACAGTGGTAGGAGTGGAAAACTGCTGTTCTGGGATTTAAGAAACAACACTGTCGTCATCGTCCATTGCCCTCCTTTGCTCACACAGCTCTCCTCAGACCCTCCCCGCCAGTCTGTCCCCAGCTAGGACCCAGGCAGAGAGGGTGGGCAGGGGCGCTGTGCAGCCCAGGGTCTCAGGTGTAAAGCTCAGAGAGCAGGGAGACAGGACTTGATGCGAATGGGAATGGGAACTCAGTGCCTTTACTTTGCACAGGCTGACTGGAGAGCTTGCTCGGCCATATGAGTGGTTATGGGGGCAATCATTTCCCCAAGCCGACTGCAGCGCAGGCCCGTGAACACTGTCCCAGAGCTGGGCTCCCCAAGAGCACTGAGGCACCAGGACTCCACCCCCAGGACACTTAGCGGAAGTGAGGACTGACTTTGCTCCCAGTACAGTAACTGGGCAGCAGGGTTGGGGTGAGGTGCAAGGGCTGGTCCACCCCAGAGCTGGGCTGGCCATGGAGTCAGAGGAGGCTCCCATGCCCAGACTTTGCTGCTAGGGATCAGTGAACACAGGCGTGTGAGTGTGTCCACAAGTGTACACGAGGTGTGCCCCTGCTCACTCCTCCCCAGGGACTGGCTCTTCCTGCCCCTAAGTGTTGCTTCTGGGGCCTCAGGAAGCCAATGTTGTGGCCTACGTGCACACACACACATATACACACACTTCTGGGCCTTCTGGAATGTGGCTGTAGCCACTGGCTGGTGGCTGCTCCGCCCTCCCTCTCCTAAGGTTTCTGAGAATCCAAGTTCTGTTTCCGAAATAAACCTATTAGCTGGCTCTGCTTCTGCTTATGAACCTGGTTGACTCCATCATCGACCAATGCAGGCTGGGATCCAACAACACTGTCCAGAGCCCAGAAGTCTGCACGCACCTGCCCTCGCAGCTCAGCCTGGGCCAGAAACACATCTGTGTTTCTGTGTCCAGAAAACACATCGCACTCCTCTTAATTAACATGGGCTTATGAAAACTGAAATTTTAGAGCTCAAGTGTTTACCTGGTCATCTTCCGGCTGAGCTCTGATCTTGTCTACACCATCTTAACCCTGAACAACATTTCAAGACATTCTAGTCAATGGGTGACCCACCCATACATTTATGGGCGATTGATTTTCAACATGGGCACCAAGACATTTTGATGGGGAAAGAACAGTCTTTTCAACAAATGGTGCTGAGGTAAGTGAACAGTTCCATGCAGAATAATGAAGTTGGACCCCTATCTCATACCATGTTAAAAAAATCAATTCAAAATGGATCAAAGACCTAAAGTAAGAACAACAACTATGAAACTCTTAGAAGGACTCAAGTACAAATTTTCATATCTTTGGGTCAGGCAACAGTTTCTTAGATATGACATCTAATGTGTAGGCAGCCAATAAAAAACAGATAAATTGGACTTCATCAAAGTAAAAAATCTTTCATGCTTATAAAGGGTACTACCACCAAGAAAGTGAGACGACAACCCATAGAATAGGAAAAATATTTGCATATTTTATATGCAAGTATTATCATATATCTGATAAGAGTCCAGTATCCAGAATATATAGCACTCTTACAACTCAGTAATAAAAAGACAATCCAATTTAAAAATAGGCAAAAGATATGAATAAACATTACTCCAAAGAGATACACAAATAGCCAATAAGTACATAAAAAGATGTTCGAAATCATTAGGCAGTAGTGAAGTACAAGTCAAAACCACAATGAGATCTACTTTGTGCCCACTAGGATGGCTAGAATAAGAAAAACAGAGAATAACAAGTGTTGACAAAGATGTGGAGAAATTGGAACACTCAGGCACTGCGGGCAGAGATGTAATATGGTGTAACCTCTGTGGAAAACGGTTTGGTAATTCCTCAAAAAGTTAAACATATAGTTATCATATGGTTCAGGAATTCTACTAATAGGTATATACCCAAGAGAATTAAAAACATGTGTTCACACAAACACTTGTACATGAATGTTCCTAGCAACATTATTCATAATGGTCAGAGAGCGGGAAATAACCCAACTGTCCATTAACTGATAAATAGGTGAATAAATTGTGATACATCCATACAGTGGAACATTGTTCAGCCACGATACATGTTAAAACATGGGTGAACCTTGAAAACATACTACGTGAAAGAAGCCGGTGACAAAACATCATGTATTACATGACTCCACTAATGTGAAACGTCGGAAGTAGGCAAATCCACAGTCGATGGGTAAGGGGTTCCCTTACAGGCGGTGAAAGTGTTCTTGAATTCCACAGTAGCAATGTCGTACAACCTGGTGAATATACTAAAAACTGCTGAATTACACATTTAAAATGGTGAATTTTATGGTATGTGAGTCATATCTTAATAAACGAAAAGGTACCTATCAGAGAAAGGTGTGACTGTGTTGGTGGAGTAGTTACGGGGGAGGCAGGCGGGTGCTAGTTCTCACTCTGTGGCCTCGCTCTAAAAACAGACTGACTTCCAGTCAAGATGGCAGTGTGGGCAGACATGGTTCACCTCTTCACACACCACATCACAATTACAACTAAAACACAGAACAACAATGTCTCAGAACCATCAGAAACTGAGTTGAGTGGAAGTCTGACAACTACAGAAGTAAAAAATCCACATTCACCCAGACTGGTAGGAGGGGCGCAGGTGCAGAAAGGGCTGGTCACACGTCCCCATGTGGTAGATAAAAACTGGGGAGGGATATCTTGGGAGTGAGGAGTCCCAGCCCCACACCAGGCCACCCAGCCCAGGGTTCCAGTGCCAGGAAGATAAGTCCCCACAACTTCTGGTTGCAAAACCCAGCGGGAATTGAATTGGTGGAAGAAACTGCTAGAGTTCCGAGTGCTTCCTCTTAAAGAACCCACGCACAGTCTCACCTACTCAGACTCGCCCCCTCTGAGCTCCAGCTCCAGACTGGCAGCTTGAAAGGCACCAGTGGCATATAGGGAGAGAGTGACGTGTCTGGTATCGGGGAGAGCAAAGTGCATTGTCCCTTTTCTATACCTTCCCCCACAGAGCCAGCAAGCTGCTGCTGTATCGGAGACTCCATCAACCTGGCTAACACTGTTTGACCTGCCTTGGAGATGACTGGCCTGGGTATATCCGCCCCCATTGATCTGCCAAGAGCAACCAAGGCTCCACTACAAGAGGAGGGTGTACTCAGACCACATGAAGGGCACACCTCGAGTGTCCAGTGTGAGTGATAGGGGAGGCTGTGCCACTGGACCCTACAGGACACCTATTACGTTAGGCCATGGTACCAAGACAGCGAATCATAGCAGCTCTACCTAATACACAGAAACGATCACAGGGAGGCTGCCAAAATGAGGAGACAAGGAAACATGGCCCAAATGAAAGAACAGATCAAAACTCCAGAAAAAGAACTAAACAAAATGGAGATAAGCAATCTACCAGATGCAGAGTTCAAAACACTGGTTATAAGGATGTTCAAGGAGCTTAGTGAGGACCTCAGCAGGATAAAAACCAGTCAGAAAAGAAGGATTCACTAATTGAAATAAAGAACAGTTTATAGGGAAACAACAAGAGCGTGGATGAAGCCAAGAATCAAATCAATGTTCTGGAATATAAGGAAGCAAAAAACAACCGATCAGAACAACAAGAAGAAAAAAGAATCCAAAAAAATGAGGATAGCATGAACAGTCACTGGGACAACTTCAAGAAGTCCAACATTCGCATCATAGGGATGCCAGAAGGGAAAGAGAAAGAGCAAGGAATTGGAAATCTGTTTGAAAAAATAATAAAAGAAAACTTAATTTGGTGAAGGAAATAGACATTCAAGTCCAGGAAACACAGAGAATGTCAAACAAGATGGATGCCAAGAGGACCACTCCAAGAAGCAACATAATTAAAATGCCAAAGGGTAACGATAAACAGGGACTCTTAAAAGCAGAAAGAGAAAAGTAGTTTGTTACCTAAAGACGAGTTCCCATAAGACTGTCAACTGATTTCTCAAAAGAAACTTTGCAGGCTGGAAGGGATTGGCAAGAAATATTCAAAGTCATGAAAAGCAGGGACCTACAGCCAAGACTGCTCTACCCAGCAAAGCTATCATTTAGAATCAAAGAGCAGATAAACAGCTTCCCAGACAAGAAAAAACTAAAGGAGTTCATCATCACCAAACCATTATTATATGAAATGTTAAAGAGACTTATTTAAGACAAAGAAGATCAAAACTATGAACAATAAAATGGCAAAAATACATATCTATCAACAACTTAATCTAAAAAACAAACTAAGCAAACAAGAACAGAGACAGAATCATGGATACGGGGAGCATTTTGATGGTTGCCAGATGGGAGGGGGGTGTGGGGGAATGGGTGAAAGGAGAGGGGATTAAGAAGTACAAACAGGTAGTTACAGAATGGCCATGGGGATGTAAAGTACAGTAGAGGAAATGAAGTAGCCAAAGAACATATATGCATGACCCATGGATGTGGACAATGGTGTGGGGACTGCCTGAGGGGGTGGTGGGTGCTGGGTGGAGGGGGGCAAAAGAGGAAAAATTAGGACAACTGTAATAACATAATCAATAAAATATAATAAAATAAATAAATAAGGACAGACCAATAAAAATCCAGGAGTGCCAGCTGCAGGGGACAGGCAATGACGAGTTCTGGAAGCGAAGAGCCAATTTCCACAGGCAAAGGAGGCAGGAGCATTTTCGGACCAGTTGTATGTATCCAAGCTACTGTGACTGAAGGGGAACACATTCCAAAAAGAACTAAGGGTGGGGCAGATGTTTGACAAACCCCCCCCCCCGGGAGATCCCAGCTCCTCGTGGGCTCCTGGGAGGGGGTGGTGTGAGTAAAAGCAGGGACCCAGAGTGCTGGCCTTGGTTAGCACATTGCTAAGCAGCCCACCGTAGGTCCCTAAGGTCCACAGATTTAATTCCCTTACCTGCAGAACAGGCATGGTAACACAGAGCCTACCTTTATACCGCGACAAAGATCAAATGAGATAATATAGGTAAAATACTTAGTAGAATGTCTGGCACAAGTTAAACACGCAATAAATGTTAACCCCAGTTTGTTATTGTAGCTGATTTTATTATCATTGATAAGACTGCTCAGCCTCCATATATAACAGGAAAGAAAGGAGCAGAATGGTGGAAACACTCACGAGCGTTATTACCAAAGTGGTTACCAGTTAGGAGTCCTAATCTACAAGAAAGATTTCAGTGATAGAGTAGACGGGGTGTTAGAATGAGTGACAATGCATAAAGAAATGTCACAAAAAAAGCAAGAAGTGCGCGCGATAAATTAGAGCTCCCACCAAATCAAAACCAAGGTCAAGGTGAAATCCAGGTCAGAGAACTTGACCAGAATCAGTTCTGGTCTTTGGGACCCAATGAAAATAAGGGAGGCAGGTGCCTCAACTGGAAAAAGTGCCAGAGATCTGATTTTGAAGGGAAAGCAAAAGACAGAAAACTGTGGAACAATTTGAAGGAAATGAAACAGAAATTAAACAGTAGAAATTGCTACCATCTATCCGCTTCTGTCTGACTCAGGGCAGTGGTTTTCCAAAACATTTTGTTCAAAAATTTTGCAACTCTGTGCACTTAGAAAACCACCCGAAAAGTGTGTGTTCTGTGCGCATGTATCTACGCGTATGTGGGGAAAATAAATAAGAAGCGTGGCCTGGAGACCCCAGGTGGCCGCCGTGCACAGAACCCCCGCCAAGACTTTCTGAGCCTGTGGTTTTCCTGAACGTGCAGACTCTGGGCCTGGCGGCATGTGGCAGTCACTACGCAGAGGTGGGCTGCATACACTAAGAATCATTTCCTCCGAGGGAAGGCCTCACGCATGTCAGATAACATCTGAAACATGCAAACCAGCCTCTTGTAGCAGTGTTGACAGAGGCAAGGACCGGCAGGGCTGAGGTTACTGGCTCTCAGGAGTGCTCGGCAGTAAGCGACGCTCACACCACCTATCGGGCACCTGCCGTGAGTCGGGCACTGCTCTGAGCACTGTCTCGACTCATTTCATCCTCCTGGCATTCCTTCGAACATTACTGTTCCCATCTCACAGGTGAGGACATCGAGGTCAGAAAGACCTCAGTGTAACTTGTCCCAGGTCATCCCAGGTCATCCCAGGTCAGAAAGCTGGTTAAGGAAGACTCAGGTGGTCTGGCTCCTGAGACCACATTCTTTACCAACAGAATGCACCCAGGCTTCTCAGGCGTAATTATAATTCAGGCCCAACAAACACAGAAGAAGCCACTCTGGCAGTCAACTGTCTAGTCACCAGGCCCACTGCAACTGCTATTTCAGTGAAATAGCACATCAGTACATTTCATTTGGAAGGTTAGTGTTTTATACTTTTATGTTTAACTTGTAGATGTTTTTATAGTTATGAGTTATAAGCACAAAGCATTGACACCTGATTTTAAGTTATACTTAAGTACTATAATAAAAGTAGCTCAAGTGAACTCATAAGTGTGGGTGAGAACCTCTACCCCTGAAACACACACCCCCTGAAAGGCCGGTCCCTGTGGCTGCTCAGAGACTAACCTCATGCCCAGCGCTAAGAAGGCTGGGTGTGTGCTAGTTCCTCACACACTGTCCAGTGCTGGTCTGTACATCCTGACCCTCTCCCCTCAAGTTCCCCATAATAACCACACAGAATGAACGGTCACTGGCTTAATGACCTTAAGCTGGAATTTTCCAATCACAAGACCCATGAAAGATAAAGGCAAAACACATGATGAAGAGAAGGCTGGCTGGTCTGTGGGAGGGAGAGGCCACCAAGGACTGAGGCTCATGAATGAGCCTACGCAAGCCCAGCCACGCTGGGCCCAGCTGCTCCCTTCCAACATGTTCTGCCCGACTCCTCCCACTTGACACTGGAAAATTCTGTCTCATGTGCTCAGGGCTCAGAAGCTGGCTCTGGTGCCTACCAGACAGACATTCTTTTGCATGCAACTCACTCACAGGCCTCTGACTTGATCCTCGAACAGCCGTAGGAGAGGATGTCCATTTCATAAAGATGAAAAGAGCAGAACCTCAAAAAGAGTCCACGATTTGCCTGACAGTGCTGGACTTGTAAGGGGCAGAGCGGGGACTGAAACTCGATCTGCTCCAAGTCAGTCCCTGCCACCTCCCAAAACCGGTGGCGTTCCCACACCGGGCAGGAGCCCAGTAAGGACCTGAGCCAAAGGCAGGAGGTGGTGGGGGGCAGCAGGAGTGAAAAACAAGGTCCCAAACAGGGGCTGCTGAAACATGGATCGATGGAAGGAAATGCTCAATAAAAGGTGACCATTTTTTACCTATTAGCTGAGCAAACATCCAGTTTGGTGATGCCTTCTGCTGGCAAGGCTGAGGGCACGCAGGCACACTCCTGACGGAGTGTAAGAGGCAGTATCTATGAAAATTATAAATTCGTCTTTCCTTTGGCTCAGCAGTTTCGCTTCTGGGAATTTACTGAACAGAGGTAACTGCACAGAACTAGAGGACCACACACGCAAGGTTACGTACAAAACACTGACCTCCAAAGTCCATGAACTATAGGGCTGATTAAATAAAGTGCATCCATAGAACGGAAAAACATGCGACAGGGGGAGAAAGAAAGAAGCTCTGATATGAAAAGCTCTTCTCCAAAAGTAGGTGCAGAACAGTGTGTTTATACTAGCTTTTGTGGAAAGAGGTGGAAGAATAAGAAATAACATTTTAAAATAGGCCTGTGCATATTTTTACAGATGCATTTAGAAACCTTTGAAGAATATGCAAGAAAATAATTATGGTTATGGGGTGGAAAGACCATATACTATACACATGTTAGATTTATAAAATTCTTTTTTAAACCATGGTTTATTTTGTATTGTATTTTTTCCCATTACCATTTATCTATCCCTGTCGTACTCTCCTTCCCGTCCACCTACTTCCCTCCCCTACACGTTATGTATTTTTTAACCATAAAAACACATTAGCTATTCAAAAATGAATGTTTAAAAGCCCGAATAGGGGAGGCTCTGCCCAGGCTCCCTTCTCTAGCCAGTGTCACGGGTCCGCACACGCCTCACCCTCGCCTTCACCCACCCGGGCTGGGCCCCTCAGGTCCGTCCCCTCCTCCAGACGGCGGCCAGGTTTGCGGCCTCCAGGAGGTCTTCTGTGAGGTCACAGAAGGTCACCCTAAGGCATCAGGCTCCGCTCTATTTTTTGGAAGATGTAAATATAGCTTTGAACTATTAGCTTCCTTCTCTCTCGATAAAGATTAATATTTTACACCGAGTCCCAGAGAGGTTAAATAACTTGTCCAATGTCCCCCAGGACCGAGTTGGAGCTCAGACCAGCTCTGAGCCCCGTCTACACCCATTCTCCTCTCTGCCCACATTCTGCCTCTGCTTACAGGTCCCAGCGACTTCCATCCTGAGGAAGAGGGATGGGTTCCCTGTGCCCTTCCTCACGCCCTGACAGAGTTCAGAGTTGGTGACAGGCGATCACATGCCGTAGGAAGGAAGGGAAGGGGGGCGGGCAAGAGGAGGAGGAGGAGGAAGGAAGGAAGAAGAAAGAGGGAAGGAGCGGAGGAGGGGTACTCACTCCTGCAGGGATGGGTCTGAGTCATCAGCATTGGCTGTCCCCGGGTCTGAGTCGTAGGACATGGGCTCCTCCGAGTGATCGGGACTCTTGGAGCCGTTCTCCTGGAGCGGGAGGCTGTCCGAGTTCAGGCTGCAGGACAGCTGGGACGAGCTGGCCGTGTCCAGGCTGAGGGAGGAGGCGGTGAGCTGCCTGCTGCGCTGGATCTTATGGCCCGAGTGCTGGACTTCGATGTCCTCGGAGCCCGAGGAATGGGAGATGGAATCCAGAGACTCCTTCCGCTGCAGTTCGGGAGCAGAGGTGGACGCGGGGTCCAGCTCGGAGAGCGGGCAGAGCCCAGAGAGGGCCAGCGGCGTGAGCGTCCACTCGTTTAGGACGGCCGACTTGTAGGAGAGCTCGAAGGACAGGGACGTGAGCCCCTGCAGGAAGCTGAGCAGGAACTCGCTCTCCTCCACGTCGCGCAGCAGGGCGGTGGGCTGGTAGTACTCGCGCAGCTGGGCCTGCTCCTGGAGCAGCAGCTTCAGGTAGCACTCCATCAGGCCGTCGTTGAGGGCCAGGCGCAGCCAGGCCCGGCAGCGGCCCACGTCCGTGCTCACGAAGACCAGGTGCTCCAGCTCCGAGATGATGTGCCTGGGGGTGGGGCGGGCGGGGGGCTTTCAACAAGGGACTTGGAATCGCTGAGGTGACACTGTACTCACCAGCCGGCAACAGCCAATAATAACGGCTGCAGATACATTAGGCATGAAAAACTTTTGGATAACAGTGTTCTAAGGGGAGCTGTGAAATATTAAGCACTAGTCCCCAACTTTCTGAAGTTGTTGCCAAACGGGTTAATTGCCATTTTCATTGCGAATACCACCAGGGTCCCTGATGCTATCTGCCTGCGTCTAGGACATGTTTGATGTGCCCTTAAGTGCAAGGTCCTCGGAGCTGTGAAGACACTGGGCTAGAGACACGGCCCCTGCCCTCCGCCCAGGAAACTGCCTTTCAAGGGCACGCCTGCTGTTACTAGAAAATGCCACAGAAGGGGCAGCATCGAGCTGGGCCTTGTGGTGTTTCAAGAGGCAAAGACGGGGTGACTCTCTAGAACATGGAGGTAATGGGAGGAAAAGGCGAGGGAAGCAACAGACCCGTGACAGAGTGGGGAGCACTCTAATTACAACAGTGGGGGGCTCGGGGCGGAGCCAGGTAACGCAGGGTTCTGAGTATCAAACTGGTGAGGTAAAGAGGGGCAGTGGTCCCCACACCAAGCTGAGCCTCAGAGTCACCTGGGGAACTTGGTCAGGATACAGATTCTGGGGCCCCAACCGAGTGAATCAGACCGAGGCTAGCATCGGGGAGCAGGTGGGTTGCAGGTTTCTGCGTAGGAAAGTGATTTGACCTCAGCTGTGCAGACTTCAGGGCGGGTGGCTCTGGGTAGGATCAGACCCTGGGTGCACCAAACTCAGTGTCTGAAGGCCTCTGATGAAACGCGCCCCCCCTCCCCCGGCGACTCCCACAGTCCCCCCTCACGTCTGCACGTGGGAGGGTGGACCATGCTCTGCAAGGCCCCTCGACTGGTTCCAGTGAGCTTCAGCTCAATAAATGTTAAGAAAAGACGGACTGAGATAAGGGGACAATTAGGCTGCCGCTGTCACCCAGGAGTGAGGTGAGAACCCGAGATAGGGCAGTGGCAGCAGGCATGGAAAGGAAGACCAGAGACCGACAGGGCACCCCTGGGCAGAGGGTGGCATTCGATAGCCCTTCGAGGCGCAGTGCCAGCTACTTGCTCCAGGCCCAGGCAGTTAGGGGCAGGGCCACGGGGACAGGTGTCTCAGGACGAATATTCAGATGCTCTACTTAGATTTCACTCTTATTAAAAAGCAAACAAAAAAAACACCCTCAATCCGTTATAATACTTAGCACAGAGATGTTCAAACATTCTAAGGCAGGGTCAGCAAACTTCTGCAAAGGGCCGGATAGTAAAGATTTTAGGCTTTGCAGGCCACATAACCTCTGATGCAACTACTGAACTCGGCCAGCATGTGGCAAAAAGTCGGAACCTCCTGGCTGGTGTGGCTCAGTGGACTGAGCACTAGCCTGTGAACCAAAAGGTCACTGGCTCAATTCCCAATCAGGGCACAAGCCTGGGTTGTGGGCCAGGTCCCCAGTAGGGGGCGCTCGAGAGGCAGCCACACCTTGATGTTTCTCTGCCTCTTTCTCCCTCCCTTCCCTTCTCTCTAAAAATAAATAAATAAAAATTTTAAAAAATAAAAATAAAAAAATGGCACCTGCTGAAGGGACTGGCCCAGAGGCCAGAAGCAGTCCCGGGCTGTTCCACGAGGAAAGAAGGGCCTGGTGTACCGACAACCCCTGCCTCGGCCATCTCTGTTCTAGAACACGGAGCACCTGCTGCTCTCCCACGCAGTGGGAGATGAAGAGCGCCCCATGTCCCGAAGCTCTCCCCCAAACCAACACCTCCCCAGCTGATCTCACTTGTGGGTGACAGCTTTCAGGAGGGACCAGAAGACAGGCTGCGGCAGCGGCTTCTGGTAGGCACTCTTCTTCCTCTTGCCCCCGGCCTCGGCCCGGATGTGCTTGGCATGCAGGCCGTGGATGAACACGGCCTCCAGGGCGCTGCACATGGAGTTGGCGTCTCCGTCCTCGCTGGTGACCGCTGCGTCGGAGGACACGTACTGCTTCTGCAGCGCCTTCATGGACCCCACTAGCTTCTTCTTGATGACCTGGGCAGGGCCGGACATAACACAGGCCTTCAGAAGACCCTATGGCAACCCCCGGAATGTAACTCTGCCTGTTGCAAAATACATGCACAACTACACACGCACACACCTGTGTGTATGTATCTGTACATGCCTTCTGCAAAACTAGCACCTGCTAATTACAGAAAATGAAGATACAGCACACAGAAGAGGCCCTGGGCTGGGTGGCGCAGTTGGTTATGGCATCGACCCACTATGTCAAGGTTATGGGTCTGATCTCTGGTCAGGGCACATGCAGGAAGCAGCTGGTGAATGCATGAATATGTGGAACAACAAATCAGTGTTTCTCTTTCTCTCTCTCTAAATTTTCTTTAATTTAAAAATAAAGTATACAGTCCAGTGGGTTTCGGTATGATCACAGAACTGTGTCAACATGGTCGTTATCTAATTTTAGAACATGTTCATTGCCCTAAAAAGAAATACTGAACCCCACTCCCTTCCCCCCAAACCTTGCCAACCACTAACCTACCTCGTCTCTAGGGATCTGCCTATTCTAACCGCACATATGAATGGAATCGTGCCATAGGCAGCCCTTCAAGTCTGGCTGCTTTCATTTTAGCATGTTTTCGAAGTTCCTCTATGATAAAGCATTCTTCACGTAGCGGCACTTCATTACTTCTTATCACAAATAACATCACGGATATACCACTTTTATTTCTCCATTCATAGCTTAATAAACATTTGGGTTGATCCCACTTTTTGGTCATAATGTGGTTATGAACGTTCGTGCATAAGTTTTTGTGTAGAAATATGTTATATGTTTTCAATGCTCAGGCGTAGGTACCAAGGAACAGAACTGCCGGGACACATGTAACAACATGTTTAACTTTCTGAGGAACTGCCAAACCGTTTCCCACAATGGCTGCCCCATTTGACATCCGGCCAGCGATGGACGAGGGCTCCGCCCTCCCCACAACCCCAATGACACTCACGACTGTCTGCCGTTTTGGTTACAGCCACCCCAGTGGGTGTGAGGAGCTATCTCGCTATGGTTTTGATTAGCATTTGTCTCATGGCTAATGATGGTGAGCATCTTTTCGCGTATTTACTGAACTTGTATATCTCCTTTGGAGAAATCCTTAGTCTTCGGGTAACCTACATTAACTCCCGACTGTTCTTTTGTCAATTCTCGATTTATCACCAATAAGACGATCTAGAAAGGGCAGGACCTCCTCGAAGCCTGCTTCTGCTAGAACTTTTTCTCAGCCCCAGGCCTCTCTTACCAGATGGTGTCTATACATTTCAAAGCGAGAAAAGCCAATGAAACGGCAGTGCTGTGCCCGCCTTCCCCACCCCAACCCTAACCCTGGCCACCTACCGGGATGGCGGCCTGGGGGGCCAGTCCATTTTCCACCACTGAGAGCATTTCCACTCACACAGCAGCTCCCGAGGAGAACCACATGACACCTGCTGGGACAGAGGGGGCCAGATGAGCAAGCTCCCAGCTCACCTCCCCAGCACCCCGCCACCAACCCTCACCCCTCACACCCCCAAGAGGGCAGCATGAGCTCAGCTCGTTGTACTCAAACTGCAACCGAAAGAAAGGCCTTTGAATTCAAAAGTAAAACTGAGAGTGGATTTTCTGGAAGGAAACAAGGAAGGAAAAGAGTCTGAGGGCCGGGATCTTGGAGGGGGAGGAGCCCTGTGGAGGGCCAAGGGTGGACCCACCCCAAGGAGGGGGCGGCAAGGGCTCTTTACTGCACGCCAAGCTCTGGCACTAAATGCAGGAAACGACAGGCTGATGATTTTGCTGCAGAGCTGAGGGTGCCCAGGGCTGCTGTGGCTGCAGGTGCAGAGAACCCGCAGGGACCAGAACGCAGGCCTCATACATCACAGTCAGGGCCCGGCCTTGCACCTGCCCCCTCTGACGCCTTCCAGTGCAGTGTCTGCCACTCAGCAGTGAAAAGTACAAGTGAAACAGCTGCAAAAGGGAGACTCTCCTGCCACACATCCGCTTCTCCTTTGGGCTGCGAGGGTCAAGCTTGGGCAGTACAAGGACACGTGTGAAGGGGAACAACACTGGTTCTAATCTCAATTTGCCATTAACCAGCTACGCACACGGGGCCGCTGTATCAGACTGCTCAAAGGGAGGTTATGACTGTGGAAATGCCTAGCACAGGGGCCAGTATGTACCAAGAACGACTGGCACCTATAATCGTAGTGCATGTGACCACTTGAATATACAGGCAAAGCATCCCACTGCCGGAATCAAAATGCACGGGCAGGTGGAGTAGCACAGGAAAGCCCCTCAGGCAGCTGGCCCCCTCCCAGCAGTGGCTGAGGGTGAAGTTGGGGAGGGGCTAAGGGCTTGGGTCTTGGTCTGAGGGGCTGCTGGCTGGCCTGCCCACCCCTGCGACTTACACAGGGTGGGCCAGGCAGACACACTCACATTTACACAAATGTCTAGTGACCCCACAGCTGAGCATGAGGGGACACCAAAAATAACAGGTTATTGCTGTCTCTGCTCCTCCAAATCCACCCTGGGTGGTGTGGCTTAATGGACTGGGTGCCAGTTTGTGAACCAAAGGGTCGCTGGTTCAATTCCCAGTCAGGGCACATGCCTGGGTTACGGGCCAGGCTCCCAGTGGGGGCAGCTCAAGAGACAACCACACACTGACATTTCTCTCCCTCTCTTTCTCCCTCCTTTCCCCTCTCTCCAAAAATAAATAAATGGAATCTTTAAAAAAAGTCTTAATATTTCACTATACACTAAAAAAAAAAAAAAAGAAGAAGTTAAAACCAAGGCCTGCTAAATGGGTTTTATACCCTTCACATCTATTGCCTCATTCCATTTCTTATAACAACCCTGGGAGGGCCCTTTTATTCCTTCAATCCAACTGATAAGAAACTGACCCAGGTCAAGGAACTTCCCAGGATCCCAGAGCCGATGCGGTGGACGCCCCAGCCTTGGCCAGGACAAGGCCCGCCGCAGCTCAAGGGAAGCCCCAGGCCCCTGAATGAGTGTGATCGCCTTCCTTTGGGGGGAGACAGGCGAGCTAGGGCTCGCTCTGTAGAGTGGGGGGGAAGGGAGCCAGAAGGAAAAGCGGGCAGCAGGGGGCTGGGGGAGGGCCCTTCAGCTGAGAGCCCTGGTGGGAAAAGACCCTGATTCAATCCCTGGCCTCTAGAGTGGGCAGGGGGGAACAGGACCCAGAACCAACCTTCCTGAGTGAGGACATGCAGGGGAGGGAGGGGTGCATGCAGAACGGTCCCTGCAGAGCCAGCTCTAGTCAGGGTGCGGAGACCCCCAGGAAGAACACAGGGCCCTGGCGGCAGCCCCCGTCCGGCTGCCTCACCCTTCAACCATCTTCCTGCTCCTACCTGCCCAGATCCTCAGGCCCCTCCTTGGAGACCAGCTCCACAGTCTGGCCATGCAGGGCAACAGGGAAAGAGCTATGTACTGTGGTTAGAGACCCTTTAAAAACATGCCTGATCCTGGAGGCTGGGTTCAGCCAGCCAAGGCCTGGTTCTCTGGCTCCAAGACACTGAGCTCTAACCCCATTCAACGATTCCAGCGGCCTACGACCAGCCCTCAGGCCTCAAGCTGCAAAACTGCCATTCCCTCAGCCAGCCCCAAGGCCAGGCTGCCCTTAGGGGTCTAGACCTCAGCAACCCAAATTATAGCCTGGGTCCATTAAGGCCCATTCCGGGAGGAGGCTTATCAACAAGTGGGTGCTCTGGCCCAGAGCAGGTCTGTGAAAAAAACAAAAACAAAACAAAGCAAAATGACTGAGAGGTCAGAGCAGAGTCAGAGAAGAGACAGTAACAGTAGCCTAAAACAAAGTGTCAGAAAAGCCACGAAATGATAATAGCGGAGATGAATCCAGGAGAAAAGCCACCTGACAATTCACCAATAGGACTGGGACCCTGGGGTTCAGGCCACAGTTCGGGGCACACCTGCCCGACCTGTGGTGTGTATTCCACAAAGCCTCACAGAGGCAGGACACGGGCTGCCAGGAGTCCCACAGCCTCTTGCTGAGAACTTGCTGGTGGAAGCAGGCGGGGCTTTGGGTCTCCTGACTGCTGAGTCAGTGCTGAGTCACTCTCGTGGTGGCCCAGGCCCCAGCCCACCACCCAATGGGGCTGGCTTCACTCCCAGTCCTCAGGACAATCTTCACTGACACCAAGAACCGAACCAAAGAGAGGTGTGGCTTCAAGGAGACTGGGCTGCAGGGACTAAAGACCAAACTTGAGCACCAGTGGAGTTTAGCAGAAAAGGTGAATTTGCTTTTTAGGAAACTCCAAACCCTGCTGAGCCTGCCTCTCCCTCTAAGTACCGATTCATCCTGACACAGCTTTTCAAGCTTCTCTCTTCTCACCAATTCCTCTAACAGCCCTGGGAGAGGACTTCAGAGAGGAGACCGGGGCTCAGTATAAACAGGCCCCAGGTAAGGAACAGAATTCTCTGGTTTCTTCACCCCACACCCTGTGCCTCTGACCAGACGCAACTGCCTCAGGTCTTTGGTTCAAGGAGTTTCAGGCAAATTGAATACTTGCTGACCCTTAAGGGTCACTCAGAAACTCCACTTACCAAATAAGGCTTCAAGTCAACAAGAAACCGTCTTGCCGACCAGCTCCGCAGCCCCAAGCAGCTGGGCCAGGTTCCTTCCCTGGTACCCAAGTTTCAGGACTGTCCTTTCTTACGTGTTCTAGCACACAGTTAGGGAGGAACTGTCCTGGTTCTTTTTCTTCGCTCTACTGCCTGGCCCTCTAAACATGTCCAATTTTACTTCCTCCAGAAACCAAGGAAGAAAGAAAAGGGGAAAAATGGCTGACATGAGACTTACATTAAAAGAACAAATAGATGAGCCGGCCTCACGGCTTTCGAAGCATTGCAGCCATCAGTAAACAGCAACCCCCTCTCCTCGGGGACTCCTCAGCCATTCCCAACAGTCTCCTCTCTGCGGATTGAATCTAATCCCGTACCTGGCTATTCGGAACAACAGCCTGGCATTTAAGCGGTCCAGCTACTATAGTTCTGATCGATGAGTCATGGTTTTCAACTGGAAAAGAAAAAATGACAAAGTTACCTTCTGATTCAGAAAGGCAGCTGATCTTTCAGTCATGTGAGTGAGGAATGAGTAAACAGCACCTGCTCCCACCTGAAGAAAATTGGATTTCTGTCCAGTGTTCTCTGGCAGGTGAGCTGGGGGAACCAGGCCTTTGAAGTAATTAAACACCAGCTGGAGGGTGAGAAACTTCTGGCTTGTGATTCCCAGACCACGGACTGGTGGGTGAGGCCCGAAATGTGAGGTCAGTTAACACTGGCTATCTTTTTTTCCTCCCTCTTTCTTTCCATCCAATAACAGCCATCTCCCCCAATTTCTCGTCCCATATCCCCTGGGGGTCTAGCAAGAGCACATCTCTGAATGAATAAAAACAGGTACTTTCTGTGGGTCATTCACCATTGTATTTCCAGTGTCTAGAAAAGTGCACGGCACACAGTGGAGCTCGAAAAACGCCTGAATGAACTGATGAATACAATAAAAATAAGGCTCAGGGCAGGTACCTCCCTCTCATAAACGGTGGGAAGCTGAAGTACACAACTCTCCAGTGCTAAGAACTTCCACTAAACCCAGCTACCGACAGGCTGAAAACCATCCAGACCTATCACACCTTACTGGGGACGTACTGGAGGTAGAAGAGCATCCAATTTTCAAAGGAACGAGACTACAAAAGGCAAGTGAAGACAGTGGTCCTGCTTGGGGCCCTTTAAAATTGCTGTCATCTGGCCAACCCCCTGAAACCAGGTCACCAGAACTTGGAGGGGACATGTACTCAAAAAGCCCAGATGACAAATGCTGCGCATGGGACCTGACGGCCTCAGGATGCCCCTGTGCCTCAGCTCCTTTCAATAACTCAGCTCCCTCTGTTCATTGGCAACCACAGTGGCCGACAGTCAGTGATGCAGCCCCCGAAAAAAGAGGAAGCAGCTCATCGGCCTCCAAACCCACCTAGTCGTCAGCCTCCTCAGGATCCGCTCACTGACACTCTTCACAACATGTGACATCACCCCTGGCACCCATGGTGTTCCCTGTGATCAGTGCTGGGACTGATCTGCTACCAGATGCGGCACAGAGGAGCCTTCTGTGAGGGTCTTTTCCAAGGTCTAGGGCAACACCCGGTGGAGTGGCTCTGTAACCATGACCAGTCTCACACCCTGGTACTTCCTGAGTTTCTTCAAGGCCAGGAGACCAGCCAAAAGGAAGTGATGGCTTCTATTGCCTCAGCCTGAGCGAGCTGCATGAGTGCCCATTCCTCACCTTTCAGGCATTTGGAAGATACCTACCATTCCACAGCAGTAGTAATTTAATTGCTAGAATCAATTAAATGAGTATGATTGCTAGAATCATACTTCCTGAGGACAGAAGGAGGGGACCAGACACCTGGGGAAAGCCCCTGATGCGGAGGGGTATCTCTACTCCTCCACACTCATCTAACCTCGGAGGCCCTGCATGAGCTGGTCCCGCTGTTCAGTCTCTAACTGCCCAGCTCTGAGTAAGCCCCTAGATTCGCTGTTGAGGGACGGCTGGTGGGGCTGGCAGGGCACTCTAAACTGAGCTCTCAGACTGAATGGGGACTGGGTCAAGGGAAGAGTTGGGCCAATGGGTGCAGAGTTGAAGTAAAGAGTTGAGGTGGGGACAACAGAGGATATGCCATTAAAGAGAGGGAGAGAAACATCAATGTGTGGTTGCCTCTCTCGTGCCCCCTACTGGGGACCTGGCCTGCAACCCAGGCATGTGTCCCAACTAGGAATGGAACTGGTGACCCCTTTGGTTTGCAGGCCTGTGCTCAATCCACTGAGCTACACCAGCTGGGGTTGGAGACCCCATTTTAAAGATTGGTTGAGAGCAGTAGGAATTGGTGCAGCAAGAGTTAGGGGCAATTTAGCAAAGACTTAGGGATGGAGGATGTCCTGAGGATGACTGGAGATGGAAAGGAAGTATATGACAGGCTAGAAGTTAGGGGTTGAGTCTGTGAGGACAAGAAGATACATTCTTGTAAGACCTGGGACAGGACTGTGATTGACGAGAGTTATCAAGAAGAAAGACACGAGCTCAAAGCACACCTACTTTGGTGTTGGGTCTTAAATGAGAGTGGGTCAGAGGTGGGCTGTTTAGGATGAGCAGACCTTGGGAGCTGAGCAGGGGCATGTGGGAGATTGGGATAAGAAAGCTGATCCGGAAAAACAAACCAGAACAGTGGTTCTCAAAGAGATTTGCGTGGGGCATTAGGACTGCCAAAAGGGCTGAGGGCTGAGGATGAGATGTGTGAAAGAGGGAGGCGGAGGAATGTGACTGTGATCGGGTTGGAACTGGGCTAGAGTGGGGTCAAGGGTGAGACGGCATTTATGCAAGACCGGTGATGAGGGGGTGGGGTTAAGGGCTGGAGTCGGGTCACAGGTGGAAGAAAAGGGGACTGGCTAGCAGTGGCAATGCCTGACGGAGGCTTGGATCGGAGTGGGAAGTTGAGGAACGGGATTTGGGTAGGGAAGGGTGCAGGCTCTGAAGCAGGGCAGTCTCGAGGCAACCGGGAGTTTGTGATCACGGCGAAAGCTGGCCCATCGCTCCTACGCGTCCCGGCCCGCCGCCCCTCTGCTGCCCTCCAGGCCCCAACCCCTAACTCACCAAAGGGAGCAGGTAGCGGAGCATGAAGTTCTCCCAGCCGCAGCAGCCCCCGAAGATCCGACCTGACCCAGCGGCCTCCGGGTTACCGACAACATCAAGCTGCGCCCAGGGCGACTGACGCCATCACGTAGGCTCAGGGTAAGGCCCCGCCCCCGGCCCGTGGAGCCTATCGCGGAGCCGGAAGGAGTCGCGAGGCGGGGCGTGAATCGAGGGGGCGGGGTCAGCGCTCCGGGACGCCTAACTGTACCCAGCACCCGAGGGGCTTTGAGAGGATGCAGGTCGGTTACCCTAGTGGGTTGCTGAGAGCCGAGGCCTGGCGTCGGGGCGGAGCGCGTCCTCATTGCCGGTTTCCCGCAAAGTCTGCATCCAAGTAGATTCTGTTGGCCGGCGTCATGACCTCGTCTGGCCTCAGCTCTATCTGTGTAGCTTTGGGGCTGTCGTTTGGCCTCTGCTAGTGGAGGTTGTCCACTTGGAAAATGGGACCAATGACTCTTTATTTGCCTCTGACACGGTGTCAGTGTAGCCCGGCAGACAGAGCTCAGGCCCACGTTGTAGTCCCCAGGATGGCGGCTCTCTGGAAATATTCGTGTTTTGACCACACCTTGCTCCAAAAGGAAGCGCCTAGAGACCCCTTGGGCATTCTCCTGTAACCCGACCATCAGCAAAGCTCAACTAGCCATGCAGATAAATGTGTTTGATTTCCTTCGTAAAAGTGACATTTCTCTTCCAAATGGACTCACAACTCGACAGCTCTGGAGCTGGGGGTGGATTGAGGGGTTGAGGAGTCAAGGAAAAAAGAAAAAATATTCATGGACACAGACAACAGTTGGGGAGGAGATGGATGGAGGTGGAAGAGGTATAGAGGGATAAAAGGTAACAGAAAAAAAAATTTAATGAAATAGACCTGGCTGAATGAGCGGGGGCCTGTGAACCAAAGTGTCGCAGGTTTTATTCCCAATCAGGGCTCATGCCTGGGTTGCAGGCCATGTCCTCAGTAGGGGGTGAGCTAGAGGCAACCACACATTAATGTTTCACTCTTCTTTCTCCCTCCCTTCCCCTATCTCTAAAAATAAAATCTTTTAAAAAAATGAAATAGACACATTATAGCTTCCTCACGTCATTTCCCCTGATTTACCCTACTTTGATCCCGAGACTGGTTTTTGGCTGAAATGTAATTTTATCAGATTAAATTGCTTCACAATTTTTTTTTTTTAAGTAGCAGGGGGTATATTGCAGTGCTTCAGACGCTTCACAGATGCAAGCACTGGTCAATTGGCACTGAGTGTGAGCAGGGAGGGATGCTCTGGCGTGGCTGGATGAGGTGCAGGTGGGGACAGGGCTGGTTAAGGAACAGGCCAGTTCTTGGAAGCAAGCTGCACTGATCCCCACTGGGGCTCCTGGGCTGCATCTGCCTTTCCAGGAAAGAAGGTGTCCCTTATACCTCCAGGAAGGTCAAGGTCCCAGTACCAGTTTCTATTTGTAAAACCAGCCATTGGGGTGTGGCCCTCCGTGGTGCAGTTCTCTCTCCAGCAGTGAAAACCGGCCCCTGCCCCCCCCCGACCCCAGGTTTTAGGCTAGATGAGTGAGTGCTAAGGGCATTCACTAGGGTTATGGGTTGAACAGGAAGATTAGAAATAAAAACGTAGTAAAATCTGAGAATCTCTGCCCTAACCTAGGAGATAAGGGCTCAGGGACTTAACATTCATGGAAAGCTGTGACTTGTCCTCACCGACCACCGAGAAGGAGGTGCCTTTGTTATCCCATAGTATAGATAAGAAAACAGGCTTGAGGGAAGCAACTTGGGGCCCAAGGCTGCACCACTAAAAAAGGGAAGAAGGAGGATTCTCACCCAGCTCTGATTCTAGCTGGAGAAGTAGCATAGTTCCCTCAGTAACAGAACAAGTGGGCTTTAGAACCAGGAATGCTTAGGTTGGAATCCCAGCTCTACCCCATGCTGTTTTCTGGGCCTCCCCTAAACAGGGGCCTGGAGCAACCTAGTAAGGGTGGGGCTAAGACAACTGCCACAGTGTATTTTTTTTGTAGGTCCCTTGAGATAGCATTGAAGACAGAAATTTCTCAACTGAATTGAATGTTCAGAAAAAGAGAAGTCAGGTCACACCGCCCATGGCCCTTTAGCCTCAGGAAGAAGGATCGGGATGTGTGAATTCATAGACGTTTCAAAAACTCTCAGAGCCTCAGTTCCTCATCTGCAGATTAGGGAAGATGTCAGTTGGTGTGAACACTAAATAATGTCCTTGGGACAATGCTTGGTCTGTGGAGAGCACTTGAAGCTGACTAGTCATTATTATTACAGTTATAGCAATTGTCACCTCTTTAAGCCAGTCACAGCTCTGCCTACAACTATTATCTGCCTACAACTGTTATGCTGAACAGCGGAGTGAGGTCCTTACTCTGAGCAGAGCCATCAAACTAGTGTTAGTACAACCGCCTCTCTCGATACTGGAATAGCTGGTGTTCTCCTGGGTTCTGCTGTGGGAAGCTGGTTCTTCCCACACTCTTTTTAAAAGTGGATTTTAAAGTTTTTATTCTTTGTCAGTGATACCTCAATAAATCTAGAAGAATGATCATAAGACAGTGAACTGAAAAAACAAAAACAAACACAATTTATCGTACACACAGTTAAATAAGATTTTGCAGGTAGCCTGAGGATGCAGTTCACTCGGTGGCGGTGTCCTGTGCGGTGGTGGTTCACGCTGGTCTGTCACGCAGCCGAGTCTGTGGCAGCGACCCTTAACACCGCAAACTCACCACGCAACCTGGGGTAAGAGGAAGAAGGCCAAGGGACAATCACGCTACTCCTCACTTCCTCAGCCTGGTCAGGAGTTCTAAGCTGCTCCCCACATTTACATCTGGTAGTACAGCTCATCCTCAGCGGAGGAGTCCTTGTCATGCAGCTTCTGTGCCATGTCTTCTATGCACCTCCCACTGCACGGTCTGTACAGGTCCCTGAGCCAGAGCGGCCGCCTCCCGGAGGAAACATCCTTCTGGGAAACACACAGGGGGATATTAATTCTTGTTTCCCCTGCTGTGTTCCGCCATAGAGTACTTTATCTTACCTTTATTGTGTGTTCCGGGGGGCATCCCGTAGGCCAGAGAGTTGAGAAAAGGCCCCTTGGAGGAAAATGAAAAATGGCAGTTAGTGGTTTGTGCCCTTCATGTCTCTCACCATGGGTAGCTCTGGTCTTATTAGGACTAAATGGGTACCTGGGTCCATACCGATGAGCAAAATCACCACTCTCCTTCTTGGCCAAGTACCCTCATGCAGTTAAAAAAAAAAGAAGAAGAAGCCCTGGCTGGTGTAGCTCAGTGGATTGAGCAAGGGCCTGCAAATCAGAGTGTTACCGGTTTGATTCCCAGTCAGGACACATGCCTGGGTTGCTGGCCAAGTCCCCAGCTGGGGGCACATGAGAGGTGTCCACACATTGATATTTCTCTCCCTTAATTTCCCTCTCTCTAAAAATAAATAAATAAAATCTAATATATATATACTTTTAAAAAGCAACACCACTTGGACAAAAGCAGTTTACGCTCTCCAAAAGCATTTTACATCGTTTGCTTCAGAGGAGAGAGAAAGTGCTTTTATTTTCCTAGCTGCTTTATCCCATAAGCTAAATCACACCAAGTCAATGCCCAAGTTTGAACAGCACAGTAGCCGGCTGCTGCCTTCCGTATGGCAGGAGGCCACTGCTGAGTGACTGAGTTGTGCAATCAGTTTAAAGGTCACCACCAGCACTAAAATACAAGACACTCTTTTTGAATGCAAACAGAATAGAAACGCAATCAGAGTGCATAATGATTTTGTTTAGAGAGACTAATGTCGGTGTGGTGTGTGTGCCCTGAGTTTGGACACAGAATGCAGCTCACGGCCCAAGCACAGTGAATCAGTGTAGAAGTCCCCAGCTGGAAAGGCACCATCCTCTTTCTGACACTCACTGGCCATGTGACCGTGGGGCAAGATTTTTCCCTTTCCTCTTCTCCACTTCCTTATTATTAAAGGAAAAGACGAACTACTATGTAAGGTCTCTCCCGGTTAAAATTGTACGGGGTGTGGATGAAGCAAATGGAGAGGACAGTGGCCTGAAAACTGGTAGGATGAGAAGGGGAAGTTTTCCTGCTACTTTGCAGAAAGGCTTTATATATTCTACCTTTCCTCAGCCTTGAAGGAGACCAGCGCTCTTCCCCTAAGACCTTGTGGCCTCCCCACTGCTTCCCCAGAGCCTCCACTACTAGCAGGAACAGCTACAACCAAGACCTGTCCCTCTGCACCCTGTCTCCTCACAGGACCAGCGACAGCAGACGCGTGCGTCCGTGCCAGTGCCATTCTATCTCAGCTCGGGCCGGGGAGCTAGTTTGCAAATCTAGGCAAAGCACCAGGGTACATAAGTACTCTTTCCAAATTCGGTGGCTTCCTCACTGTAAAAGGAGGAAACTGAAAGAGACAGGTTCTAAGTCCCCCTCTAGTTCCCTTCTGGGATGTCTGTTTTCTGTGCAACCTCCTCTTCTGGCTTAGGAACCGTCTGCTCTTTCTCAGCACAAATCACCCCGATGTGGCAGGGAGAGCTCACGGATGAGTTAGGCGGCCCATGAGCTCTGGAAGTTCTGCTCTGGATCTCAGGAGCTCTGTCCATCTGGATGTGCTCAATGACCAGAGAATCTCTACCTAAACCTGTCAGCGCTGCTGCATTACTTTCTGCATTTTTAGGCGTGTGCACCAAAAGTCCAGCGCTTTTTTGGAGCCGGGGACCCTGTGTGCATCCCATTCTTTGGCCTGGATACACCTACCAACTCTACCTTTGTAACAGCTCCACCAGTAACGTCCTTCAGATACATGGTGGCTTTTCAGACGTGCAGACCCTCCCTGGGCTGGGCTACTTCATGAGTGTGCTTCGGATGAGCGTGAAAATTTCAACCTCTTTTTTTATTTAAAGATTTTATTCACTTATTTTTAGAGAGAGGGGGAGGGAGAAAGAAAGAGAGGGAGAGAAACATCAATGTGTGGTTGCCTCTCCCCACCCCCCTGCACCAGGGATGCAGCCTGCAAACCCAGGCATGTGCCCTGACTGGGAATCGAACTGGTGACCCTTTGGTTCCCAGGCTGGCGCCCAGTCCACTGAGTTACACCAGCCAGGGCTGAACCTCTTGATTTGTGTGCTTTAGTGGAATTTTCTGGGTCAAGTGAGTAGTGAACCATTTTCAGAGGTCACCTCAGGTTGCTTAGAGGAAGAAGCAGCCCCTGTAGATCTAAAATTCTACTTAAAAAAATGCCAGACTAATGGTTACCTTGAGCTTCCTTCTTTACTGTCCTTTGACGATGTTCTATGGCAATAAATCTGTTTTGGAAGAAAGCAACATCGTGATTATTCATCACAATGACCACTGTCTCGAAATCTTTATTCGTCCCCTTTTAAGTGAGATGGCAACTTTTTTGAGGACAGGAATTTTGTTTATAATTTTTTGATTCTTTCATAGTCCCTAACTTAGGATCTTGCATGCAGCTGGCAATGCCTTTTACTGGTTGTTTTAGATAATATTCAGCAGATAATTCCTATTAAATACTCTTAGAAAAAAGAAAATAAAAATATCTACCAGAAACCTACACAGCAGCTCTGTTTTAGGGTCAAGAACAAAAGTAGGACATCCATTGTCGCTGTCACTATTCATCGTCATTGAGGGGGTCTTAATTTAATAAGAAAAAATAGCATTGAAAAGAAAGAGACAAAACATATTTGCATATGAGATGATGCAAAACTTCAGAAGCCCAAGAGCATCAACTGACATTTCATTGGCAGTAATACAACAATTCAGTAAAATGGCTAAGTCCAAAGTCAAGAGATCAACATGCAAACCTCAAAAGCTTTCCCACATACCACAAATAACTAATGGAAAAATCCGATTACATTCTAAATCTATTCTAAAGACAGAACGTATTTTGGAAACCAGAAAGAAGTGTGGTCTTACCGCAATGAAACAGAAAATCACAATGAAAGTTATCGCCCCTATAATCACAGGTATGGCCACGCCGAGTTTGCCGAGTTTGCCAAGTTTGCCGTTATACCTGTATTCTGGCAACTCTGTAGTGAGCTAAAAAACAAAGAACGATTAAAAAAAAACCCCAAAGAGATGGAAAGGATAAAAACTAACTATCCTCTAGCCTATTCTAACTATTCTTAACTACTGCTCTAAAACCTCACTCTTTCAGGTGAATTGCTAATATGTTCTTAAAGAACATACCAAACCTACATGTTATGTGCTCTTGGCGTTAGCATTTTCTTGTATAATTTGTCTTGTGTGTTAGGTCCGCCTTTGGTCCACCCTAGGAACAGAGGCACCATTCTCTCAGTGAGCAAAGTGGGATGAGAGATCACCGTCTCAGTCACATGGCCAAGATGAGGTTCCAACTAGGTGCCCCTGGCTGTCCTGCCTGGGTGCTTCCAAGGCAGGTGCTGACCCACTGGAAGCCCAGGTCCCACACGTTGAGAGCGATCCTCACCTCGCTGGACTCCCGCCGTGCTTCCCGTTCCCCTTTGGCTTCTCTCCTCTCGGTCTTAAAGCTCTCGTTTTTCTGCGGATTTGCATCTTGCTCTTCCTTGGAAACCTTAACTTCTTGCTGCTCGCTGAGAAGCTTTATCAGGAGGCCTGTTCCAGAAAAATGGTTTCCTCAACGACTTTTTAAAAAATTGTGTATTTTTTATATTTGAAAATATTTTTCAAATTTATTTTTAGAGAGAAGGAAAGGGAGGAAAAAAGAGAGGGAGAGAAACATTGACCGGTTGCTTCTTGAGCACACCCCCAACTGGGGACCAAGCCCGCAACTCGGGCATGTGTCCTGGGTAGGCATTGAAGTGGTGACTTTTGCTTTCCAGGATGATCCCCAACCAACTTAGCCACACTGGCCAGGGCCCTCAACTGATCTGGAAAAGTTCCTGTTTCTTCCAGTGACTCACGGCATACCTCGGTCTGGCATGTTTGAAAATGGCAGTTTCATCAATGGTGATAACATTGTTCTACATGTTCTATATTTCCCCCCAGGACACGGCAATATGCAGTTTAGGGCACGAATGTCCCTTCTCCCACTACGGTCTAGCCGCTCACTCAGGAAGGCCGACAGGCTGTCCCCCTTTTTGCCAGAGGATGCTGTCTCCAGCTCAGCCGTCAGCTTCGCGCTGGTGTCCTTCTCCCAGCCTTGCAACGCCTTTTTGAATGATTCTTCTATGAATTCTTTATCTGTCAAAAAAGAAGAGGCCACTTTTGGTAAGGAAGGACTTACGGGACAGCTTTGGTCAGCCGACGGCCACGCAGCCCAGTGAAAACAATGGGAGCCAGCAGGCGTTTGAGTGCCATGTGGAGGGGAGGCAACGTGAGCCTGTGATCGTCAACACAACCAAAGAGGAAAAGGTTTGTTCTTTAACGAGTGGTTATCACCTAGAACATTCCATAGTGTGAACTGTAGTAACTTTATGGAGGATTAATCCATTGGTCCCCAAGGGCCAATTGCCCAGAACTGAAGAAAATCTGAGGCTGGACGATTGCAGTCAGTTCGATTCCTGGCAAGTCGGCTGCACCTCCCCACACTCATGGGCCCCACCTGTCCTGCTCAGACGCAGAGGGAGCGTGAGGCTTCCTCCCTGCACCTCTTCGGGTTGCTCGTGTCCTTGCCACTATCACAGATGACCACGATTAACACCCACTGTGAACAGGTCCACACCTGGACATGCCCTTCTCCACTTGCCCACTGATTCCTGAGCGTGGTCCCTACCCCAGCCCCCATAACAGAAGGCTCTGTACAGAACAAACCACTATGTCCACACTCGCTATTTGCTTAAATTTAGGCAGGCCTCCGGGACGTAGGCTGAGATTTGGCAGGCCGTGTACCAGTGTGGAATGATCAACAAATCCACACAATAATACTTGAGGTCCTAAGTACAGAAGGACAAAGGCAGTTTTGCCAGCTGCCAACTCTGCTTTCATTTCATGTCATTGTTTATGTTTTCAGCTTTACCTGGGGAATCATCTAAAGCTTCTGCCTACGTGAAGGTCAAGTGTATGATTTGCAGCTGGGTTTCTTTTCTTGAATAATTAAAAATATCGCTGCTGGTGATGAGGGTCAAAGAAGGGAGGAAGGGTCCAGAGAAAGGAGGGACATGGGCTTGCGGACAGCCCCGGACTGGGACCCGGAGACCTAGGCGATAGGTCTCAACATTTCCTGATCTTGTTTCCACACACCTGCCAAAGGAGATCAAAGTGCCCGTTCTGCCCAGGGTAGAAGGGAGCAATGAGATTGGTCAAAACATTGTTTTGAAAGCCAAGCAATACTATCTTTATATGAGAATCACCGTGTTGTTATTTATGACCTGCTCCATCAAGATCACTGACAGAAAGTGGTATTCAAGCTACCTGGGCATGAAAGCACATTCTGGAAGTTACCATGTAGGTGCCAATAAACCTAATATGCAGAAAAACACTTAAAAGCACCTGAGTGTTTGTTGGATAGGAAACCCTGAGCTTCAGAGCAAGCTCAGAGAGGGACAGTGAAGAAGACAGGGGCCCTCCCACCCACCGGAAGGGCCTGGTAGCTGCTTCCGGTGAAGGAACCAGAAATTACCAGCGTTTAAATAGAACTTTCATACAACAGCATCGTTGGGGCTCTTTTTTATAAAATGGCAAAAACAAACAAAATAAACACGTATCGCTACCTGTCCTAGGAGGCAAAGGACAATTGAAACGAATGCCCACAAAACCGGTGCACGAACCATGACGCACGAATGAACAAGTTCTCACTTGGAAGCGAAGCGCCGAGCAGAGAGCACAGCACGCACCACGCGGCCATCACTGTCCGTTCCACACCCCTCCCGTTCCTTTCTCGCTCCTTAATCGGACTCACAGCGAGGGAGGCCTTCTTAGAAATGGAGGGGGTTGAACTCTGAATGAATGAATAAAAACGATGCAGGTCCATTATTTGTTTAAGGATTTCTCATCCTCGACTGAAAATAGAAATGAAAACGTCAATAAGATTAAAACCACCGGGCGATTCAGACTCACCACACCGTGTGTTTGAGACACATTCAGAGTCTCAGTGCAAGCTGACTGTCTGGCCGGCAGCCTCGTTATCACTGTTAAGTTGGCAGAAGCAGCAGGCCAAAGGGCTAAGTAAGATCCTATAAATGGAAACAGAATTAAATTAGTGCCAAAGAGGTGGGTAGGTGGAGGAGGTAGGCCCAGGCTCCGCTGGGTGTGCGGAAGCCTTGCTGGGGCACGTCACCAGGGCAGTTTGGTCGGGTCCGGCTGTGGGCTGGTCCCGAACAGTGGAAATAAATAGAGGGCAGACATGCCCAACAGAAGGGTGACAATGGCCGTGGGTGCGGCATGCCTAGAATGGAGGGGACAGGGCGTAGGACGGGGTGACACAGACCTGTAGTTTAATTCAGAGGTGTCTCCTTCTCCCAACCTGAAAGTCTCTCTTTGGGTTGAGAGTGCACAGGAACGGGAAGACTTCTTTTTTTTAAAAAATTCTTTTCTTTTTTTAAAAGTTTTAATCTCTTTTTAGATTTTATTTATTTATTTTTAGAGAGAGGGGAAGGGAAGGAGAAAGAGAAGGAGAGAAACATTCATGTGTGGTTGCCTCTCACACGCTCCCCACTGGGGACCTGGCCTGCAACCCAGGCAGTTACCCTGACTGGGAATTGAACCGGCGACTGTTCGGTTTGCAGGCCACCACTCAGTCCACTGAGACGCACCAGCCAGGGCTAGGGAAGACTTCTAAGAAGACTCTGGATAAGTCCCCAACTCATGGAGTCCCTTTTTCAATTCCTAACTGCGAGTAGTAAATATATTAGAAATTACTCTGGGCGTAACAAACATTATATGGTTAAATAATTACAGATTGCATTGGCCAAATCTGGGGGATTTGAACATTCAAAAGAATGATGCTAATAAGGCATAACAAGATTAATTTAAAGGCATGCCCATGGGTTCATGGTGATACCCAAAAAGGAAAAGAGGGAGAGCTACTACTTATAGAATAAATTGGTCACTTTATAACAACCAGTGTAATAACAGATTGAGACAGGGATGATCATTGAGGCACAGATGGGTAAAAAATTGAGAGTAGTATCTTCACTGATCCCAAAGTATCATCCCAAAGATTATTTACTAATTACCAAGGGAAAAATGACTTTGCAATGGAAAGATATGGAAGACACCACCTTTACTGAGTGATCAAACACAGCATTATGAGCCACTTAAAAGGAAGCAGGAAGAATACCTCATCTACGTAGTATCCTTGCTAAAACAGTTCACCTTGAAGCTGATCGTGAGCAAATAGGCAAGTCCAGACTGTGGGACAGTTTACGGACAACCCTCTCAGACAGGCCCAAAATGCCACTGCCATAAAATACCGCCTCCCAAAAAAGGTAAGAAAGTGTTTTAGGCTAAAGAAAACAAAGTCATGACCTGTGATGCCAGAACTTTAATTGGATTCTGGATTAAAACAAAATGGATTTAAATAATATTATTGGCAGCATCCTCCCACCCCCCAAAAAAGAATATTACTTGCTTTTGGTTAAGATGGAGTACCTGGGGCCAATTTAACCTCCTGTTTAAAAACAATTAAAAAAATAAAAATTAAAAAATAAAAAAACCCAAAAAGCAAAACAATTTAAAAACCAGACACAATATATGTAACAGTTTTCAAGGAATTGGACTTAAGGCAATGAAGGACGCAGTCCCCAAGAGACAGGGAATAAATGAAGCGAGCCCTGTGGTTAGCAGGCTGCTCTAAGATTCCCTGCTCCCTTGCAGGAAAGAAACAACCCAGGCAGAGGCTGGTGAACTCCCTAGGAAAACGGAGATGAGATTCGGCGAAACCAAGGAGCCTAGAACTTACAAAGCAGAATTCTAGGGGGGAGGGCTGCACAGCCAAGAACTCTGGGGACATGCAGAGGGGTCTCAAGTACTGAACAAAGTGCTGGCCAGTGCGTGTGTGTGAAGAATTGCTTGAGGCCCGGAAGAGAACCACGTGTCACTCCCCCGCCCCCGTCACACCACCACCCTTCCCCTTGTCACCCAGGACAGTACTTCACAGGGTCACATGCAATCTCTCTCTTTCCTGTGCACCCTACCCCCCAGCTCCAGACAACTACTAAGTCTGGTAACTTCTTCCTTCACAGTGTCCCCAGGATTTCCTTTCTACTCCTGTCACAACCATTTGGATTCAATGCCTTCTCATTTTACTCCTCAGTTTTGCTAGAACATTCAATTTGGTCTTCCTCAATTAAGCTTCCCTTCTAGATTGCTCAACAGAGGGAGTCTGAAATAATCCTCTTATTTCAATCTTATTTCAATAATCCATCTTATTTCAGGTGTCTCTCCCACCTGAAAACTCCCAGTGGCTGTCCCCTGTCTTAGTGTGACTGTCAAGCCCTTATAGCTGATGGCCACGGTTTTTCATAAGCATAGTTTTCCCTGCTTCCTAAACCGATTCTTTACAGCCAGGCTGGCCTATTAGGTCCTGACCATTCCCACAGCCACGGCTTTGCCCACACTGGACTCACTATTCTTTCCCTAGTTAACAAACCGTAGCCACCATTTAAGTCCCAGCTGACGTTCTAGCTTATCCGTGCGGCTTGCCGACTTCCACATCCCAGTGACTGAGATCCTGCTGAACTATGTAGCATCTCTGGTCTGTGTCTCTTTTAGTACTTACTGTATGTTGCTGGGCATAATGTGCCCCAAAATTTTTGGCCCAAACTTTCAAGAAAAAAAATCTTTTTTAAAATTTTCGATTCAATTTTTTATATACTTATGTTTAGAAACAAAACCGATCATCGTGTTCCAGGGTGTTATTTTGCTCACTGATATTGTTATTGCTTTTGGGTTATACTTTTCATGCATGAGCATCAATAAAAGAATTTAAAATGTCTATATAGATACGGAATTAGTACTACCCATGTATAATATGTATCTTTATTTTTCCCTCAGAGGTTTGAGCAAAAAAGTGAGCATTATATACAGCAAAATACGGTAATTATGTCTCCTCTCCCTTTTGTGCGGATTCCATTCTTCTCATCTATCATTGTCAGGTGCTGTAGACAATGTCACACATCTGTGGCTCCCACAGTTACTTAATCCTGAGCTGGTCACAACACGGGTGACACAGATAGAAAGCCAGAGGACAAGATGAGTTCTGCACATAACTGAAGAGTCAAGTAATAGTGACAGGTCACACACACACACACACACACACACACACTCAGCCGAGCTTCCCCTGAACCAGAGGGGAGACTGTCACCTCAGGGTGCACTGAAGGCGGAGCTTCAACACCCACAGAGCATTCCGGAGGCTGGGCTGGACCTCTGCTGGAGTGGAGAAGGTTCTGCACCTGCCCGAGGCGCTCGAGGCGGTTCCACGATCCCCTGCTGGACTGAAGAGTCGGCATTTTGGGAGGGGGCCGCATACCCATTGGAGCTCCTCAGGGACTAACAAAGGTCTCAGCGGCTCAGAGGACGCTGTAGACTGAACTGAGGCCTCTTGTTGGGGTGGAAGCTGAGCTGAGGCTTCCTCCTGGGCTGAAGGGGCTCCTGCTTGCTGAGCTGGGGCCCCCTGAGGGGTTAGAGAAGGTTCCACTTCCTCAGGGGCCCCATAGGCCAAGCTGAGGCCTCTTGTTGGAGTGATGGAGGTTCGGAGGTATTTGAAGGCTCCGGTGGGGGGGTGTTGCTAATCCAAAGGCCGGGGCTCAACTGGCCTCAGTGGGGATAGAGGTGAGCAGGACCGGGTCCAGGGCCAACTCCAGGGGCTCAGCTGCCTGAGCCAGCACCCACAACAGCTGCACCTCTGGGCCCCATGTGAACAGGAGCCGTGGGGCCCAGAGGTGCAGCCCAGACATGACAGGAAGAGGTTTGGGGCACAGCGGGCCACCCAGGCGAGCGGTGAGCCAGCACCTCATGCTGAGTGGGAGCAGAACTGGCAACCCAGTCATGTGTGCACCCCTAGCAACCCAGCACCCCTCCCCGCCTCAGGTCCCAACCTTTATTTTGGCAACCTTGATTTGTCTTGGGCTGAAAGTGACTAGAGAAGAGGGGGCCTGTCCCCCAGGATCACCAGGGACCAAGTGATCCTTTTCCCCTGCACAGAGGACAACTACCTTCCACCGGGCCTCCCCTCCCACCTCACAGTGAGGCTGCACGCTGGGGTGGTCCCAGGCTCCAGCAGCCTAGGGATGATGGGGAGTGGATTAAAGGAGGCTGGGACTTGGGGGCACTGCAGAGCTTTCCAAGGAAGCCGCAGGGCCTGCCATCCCGGGAATTCATAAGTGTTAGTCCAGTTCTGGCAACCCAAACTCCTCTTCAAAGCTGAAATCTGAGAGACGTTCTTCCTCCTCTTGGCCATACTGCTTCTTGCTTTCCGAGGAAAGCAGCTGACCTACAAAGTGAACGCCAGTAGGGTGGTGGGTGGGAGGGGGACGCACTTTACAAGGTGTCTACAATGTCGCCACTCCCTCAGTGTTCTCAGTATCCACTTCTGATGCTTCATTCACTCCTGATGAGACAGAGCTACCACTGAGTCAGTGATGGCTCGCAAATTCCTGTGGATGGGGTTTGGACGGGCGAGCAATTCATCCTGGGAAAGAGGGTGTGAAACCCAGTGCTGACGGGGAAATGTCTCCCTCCCAGCTTGTCCCAGCACAGCCATTGATCTAGGACAGTAACTGGCACTTTTTAGAGGGCTAGCCTGTGTGTGCACGTGGAGAAGACACTTAGAGTGTTAGAGCCGCATGTTAAATACTTTTCTCGAAATACTGCAACCAGCGCCCAACTTGCTTCTTTTGCAGCTTCTTTTACATTCTGTTTTATTTCACTCCTGTTTATTGCCTGGCACAACCCCAGCATGTAAACTCCAAGAGAGAAGGGGCTGCATCTTATTTCCAGTGCCTAGCCCAGGGGTGACAAACTCATTTTCACTGGGGGCCACATCAGCTTTGCGCTGGCCTTTGAAGGGCCAAATGTAATGTCATCTCCTTAATAGTGAAGGAGCAGTTACATTTACACAACCCTCAAATTATTTCGGCCTTTTGAAGGCAACCGCAAGGCTGATAACATCAACCACTGTCTTTGCACCATCAACAGTTATATTTACCTGTACAGTACTCAGTAGGGATTTGATGTTAGCACTGAAGCCAACACTCTGGTCTACAAAAATTCACCTAAATTACCAGCACAGTCTATTCCTCCCTTGGCCTCGACGGCACAGCAGGATCCAGATCCACCAGTCACATGTCTTTATGTGCTTTTGCAATGTGTTAAACCGGCCCTAGAATGTTTTTAATTCCGAACAACACACACACACACACACAGGATTTGCCTGACACCCTTCTTCCTGGCTTCACTGTCTGAAAGCACAGGCCAAAAAATGGCTGAAACCAGGGTGCTTAGCCCAAACAGTCCACTGCCATGCGCTGCTACTCATTCTGGGCAAGGGGACAGATTCTAAAAGTTTAGAACACCAAATGTGTCATCCCTGTTGCCATAATCTTGCGAAATAACACTGCAAAAAGTAAAGCATCTAACAAGTTGACACCCTATCCAGTAAAGAAAGGAAACTGCCTGGCAAACGATAGGAAAAGGCAGCTCAAAACACACTAACTGCCCCTGAAGTCAGTCACCGGCCGCATCCTGCGCCCGAATCTAATCAGACTGGTTTCAGTTCCCCAAATGGAAAATGTTTGGAGTTATGGCACCCACTGAAGAATGATCAAAACTTCATCCATTCCAAGTTCTCCCCTTCTAACAATCGGTACCTGACCCATCTTCGATGAGTGCCTGCTACTGCCACCTGCAAGACACTATGCCAGAAAATGAAGGGGATACAAAATTAACATAGAGCCCTGGCTGGTGTAGCTCAGTGGATTGAGCATGGGCCTGTGAAGCAAAGGGTCACCAGTTTGATTCCCAGTCAGGGCACATGCCTGGGTTGCAGGCCAGGTCCCCAGTAGGAAACACATGAGAGGCAACCACACATTGATGTTTCTCTCCCACTCTTTCTCCTTCCCTTCTCCTCTCTCTAAAAATAAATAAAATATTTAAAAAACAAAATTAACATAGAGATACATAATTCTTAATTTCCGATAAATGTAGGGCAAGTATACACAAGGCAGACTGTCATTAAGAAAAACAATGTTATGTAAGTACACAAATATCCAGTTTTTCTTAAAGGAAACAGGACCACAATTTGTAATTTAACTCAGCACATACACTGTGATCAATCCCAGGTATTACTTGCTAGGTCTTCAAAGAGAATTAACGTTCATTGAAGTGCCCTATCAAAAATGCCGTGGAGTAGGGTCTTTTAGTCACTGTGGGTCTTTCAATCCTGGTTTCTCTGTAGAGAGGACTACATGTGATTTCTCAGAGCAAAAACTTTAACTATGAGAGATGTTACAACGACTGAAATCAAGTTGGCAAGAAGTGGCATAGTCCTCTCTACATACGAAACATTAAACTTGGTGATTCACTTCCCTTCATTCTCCAGCCAGCAAGCCCCCTCCATCCCAAGACAGGCAGATGTTTTTATCTTCGGGCAAAAGAAGTTACCCTTTCCATTCGCTGTCAGGATGCTCTAAATGGGATTACGCCTGGTTTATTTCTTTCCTTCTCCAGTAAGTATTTAAGCATTAAAAAAAAAAGAAACATTTAAATTTATTTAACCACTTCTATTGCCCTCGTCTCCTTATAAAAAAAAGTGACACATCTTACTTTTTAAAGATCCTATTTCCTCATAAACTTTACTTTGTAAATATTCTTAAAACTGGATTCTAATTGGGTTAATCCAGATATAAAAAAATCTTGTAGGTTTCTGTTATAAGCCACACTTTTTTTTTTTACAATTTAGTAACATGCAACTGTGTATTTAATACAAAGCAGCTGTTGTGCTTTAAAAAAAAATCATCTCAGCACCAGCCTCGAGAAACTCTGTGAGAAAACTGGAGAGGAGTCACCACGGAGAAATTCACTACAGATCCTGGAAGGACTTTTATCCTTCCCAATGGGATAAAAAGAAAAAGCCATTTTCTAACAAATCCCTCTAGACTCTTGCTGCACGATTTAGAAGTTGATCCCAAAGTTCACCCTCAGCAACCGTGTCTGCACGGTCAACCGTACCCGCCTGCAGCACGTGACTCGAAACTGTGTTTCTCAGGCCAGAAGCGAGGGGATCAAGTAGTAAAACCCGTGTCCCTACAACGTCTTACATTTTGAATTTTACCAAAATGACTTTGAATCGGATGAATTGCCACGTTTGTTTCGGGTTTGTTTGGTTTTCTGCGTTGCTTTTTAAACAGCCATTCACCAGCAAAGGCTGCAGGAGCCCATCAGCGCCCAAGGATAAAGACAAACAGAACCAGAGAAGGCTCCCGTGCTAATAATCCAAACTGACCCGTTTCCTCAACACATTTTAAAACCACACAGCTAGGGGTGTGCAGCGAAGCCTGGTGTGTGTGTGCGTGTGTGCGAACCTGTCTGGTGCTGGGGAGGACCGGGGTTCTCAGGCGTCACCTCACCTGGGCGGCCCACCCGCCGCAGCTGCTGCCGAGTTTGCCACGAACCGAGCCCCCAGCCAATCAGGTCTGGCCCGGGAGCGCGGTCACGTGAGCTGCGCCACCGACGGAGCAAGGCCCCGCGGCGGCCGCTAGGGGGAGCGCGGGAGCACCGGGTCGCGGGCGAGGAGCCCGGGTGCCCCCTTGTGGCGCGGCTGGACCGCAGATACAGGTGGCGTGGACCAGAAAGCTGCTGACCCTCGCGACGTGCCCGCATCAAAAGCCTCAGGAGACGACTCTATCGGGGAATCCCGTGCTGAAGACGAGTTCAGCAGGGCCTCCTTCTGTGTCTCCCCTTCTCCGACTCAGAGAAGAGGGCAGGGGAGTCCTCAAATGTATAACCCCCCGCCCCATGCTGAAAGAGCCAGAGGGTGCTGCGGGGGAAATTAACTGGGAGGGGCGGGGAGACGAGCCCCCAGAAATGTGAAACTCGTAAGGCGTGGTTCTCAACAGCCCTGGAACTGATCCCAATGACAACTGGTTGCGGGCTGTGCCAGGCACCACCCCGAGACTCCCCGCTTTGGCATCCCCACCGGAAGAGCCTCGTATAAACCGCGGAACGCAGCTGCACGCCGGTCTCCCCTCACTTTTCCTGGCATCCCAGCTAGAATCTCGACCACCTCAGCAATAACTTTCCAGTCTGTCGTGGAAAGGATGACTTCCTGCCAAAAACCGACTTCCAAATGGCACATGTGTTATCAGGAAATAATTTTAATTTCTTTACCTGACAAATCATCAGGTCTCTGTTGAACCCAGGGAACCAATCAAGATGAAACTTTAGGCGTCCCCAGACCAAACCAGGGCGCCTCGGCACACGGTGGTCAAGGCCAACATGGGGGGATAAGAGGAAGGAGCAAGACCTAAGAGGCCGGATGGGGCTAGCAGGCTAGAAACCCTCCCCCTTGCTTCTCCTCTCGCCCTTAAATCCTCCAACCACCCCCCAGTGCAATCATTCATCTGTCTATCCATGCTTCTGGCACTTACTAATCAGCTACTGTGTGCCAGGAACAGTGCTGAGCCCAGCGAGGGACATCTAGCTGGGCCTAATGCACGTGCCACCTTCAAAGGGCCTGTAGTACAAGAAGGAAGATGTACGCTCCAAAAACCACAAAGCAAGTTAAAAGGAGAAAGTGTTGTAAGATAGGTGTGCACAAATTCTGGGCAAAGTGGAGATTTTCCCAGTATGCAATAGGATACAGCCTTTTCACTGGCTGTTCCCTCTGCCTGGAATGCTCTTCTCCTAGAATTTGGGTGCCCAGGTCCTTCATTCAGTACTGTTCAATGTCACCTCCTCAGAGATGCCTTCCTTGACTTCTCCTTTTAGAATGGTATCACACATCACTTCCCCTCCTTTATTCTTCTGCATAGCACTTATCACCATCAGGAAGTGCTTTGTATATTTTTGTGTTTGTAAATCGCTTGTCTTTCCCCCAGAATGGGAACACTGGGAAGAAGGGGCTTTATTTACATCTCTGGCACCTAAAATAGTTCCTGGCACTTAATAAATGCTCATTTACTAATTGCTGAATGAATATGGGCTGTTGGAACGGTTTCTTGCAGAGGGCTGCTATCTGAACTTGGCTTTCAAAGGTGAACAAGAGAGAAAGATGGCCACTTAGGGCATGACCAGGAGAGGAGAAATGGGGTGGGGGGGTGGGGAAATGGCACTCACAGTCTCTCAGGGAGCAGCCCTCAAACCCATGCATGCCTTCCCGGGGTGGCACCTTGGCCAAGTCGTCAACTGCGGTTGATGAGGCCGGCCTGATTTATGGCAACGAGGCAGCTGACCCAGGAGATGAGTAAGGCCTGTGTCACCCTGGGAGGGGAGCAGGTGCAGCGGAGGTTTCTGCTGGTCTTCTCCGGGGAGAACAGCCAAATGTGCTCGCTCACTCACTCACTGCTCCCCCGCCTGGCTGTTTCCAGTCTCTTCTCATTTATTCTGTGGTGTTCTGGCTACGGACGCGTAACCTCTTGTCTAATCCCGAGGAAACGTCGGACAAAGCCAAACAGAGGGAATGTCCATAACATAACTGGCCTATATTCTTCAACGAAATATTCTATATTTCGTGGCAACGCCACGAACACAGAGAGCAGGGCTATTTCTGGTCCTAGTGGGGGTGGGGTTGTGTATCCTTCCCCTTAAACTAGGTGTTCCTGAGGGCAAAGTTCAGTTTCTCCATCCTTCAGCTCGATGAGTCAGGCATGAAGCAGCTTCTGTTTGGACTAGGAGGCTGCCCCGAAGGCCTTGCCTTCTCCCGCGTCCTTCGTTCTGTCTTCTGAGACTCCCTCCACACCGTCTGGAGCTCGCCACCATCCTTCCCTTTCCCTCTCCCACCCTACAGTTGCCCAATTTAGCAAACAGAATCACGGGATACGCAGCTACATTAGAATTTCAGACAAACAACAGATACATTTTTTAGCATGAGTACGTCTCCCACAACCCTGCCCTGCCCTGACTCGGGGGGCTCCTTCAGACACAGGTGGCCCTGAGCCTTGGGAGGTGACGAAGTCCCCTCTTGGGGTCCCCTGGGGGAAGACAGGGCTTCTGGCAGGTGCACTTCTACCTCCCCTTCTGCAGCTTACCTCTCTCCTACCCCTCTGCGACCCCAGGTCCCAGGCAGCTCAGGGGTTTCTGTGAGGGTCTGTAGAATGAAGCTGTTTAGTGGGACCCTCCTCTTTTTCATGAACTGTACTCTGGTCCATGTTCTAGAGAAGCTGGGAGTGCTGCACCCACCCCCGCCTTCTGGAACCCCTGTTCTGTGACATCATCCCTTTCCTGGAAATACTTTGGTCTGAACAATGTAAACCCAGACCATCTGGAGGCCTATTGCAACCTCGGACAGAATGGCAGATGGGCCTGGAAGGCTAAGTGACAACTGTGTGCAGGCCACTGGGTGGATGGGGACGGACAGCACGGGTGGCTCTGTCTGCCCGCCTTCTTCCCCTCCTGAGAGGGGCGCCACCTTCCGGGGAACCCTGTTCCCCATGGGGTGGTGCTGGGGCTGTCTCAGGGCTCCGCCCTCCCGGGCGACAGTGTAGTTCAAGTGGAAACTGAGCGGAGCGGCTCGGCCTCTCACAGGAAGGAAGCCCGCGGGTGCAGCCTGGAGCCGACGGTTTGGGCTCCTGTGGACATCACCCACGGAGAGGAGGGGCCCAGACGGGCTGCCAGCCCCAGTGTCCACCTTCCCCGGACACGCCCTCGCCTTTCCTGTGGCCCTGCAAGGCAGTGCTCCCTTCTTGTGAAAACAAGTCCGGGTTGGGTCTCTGACACCTGCACCGGAAAGGGCGCCACCTGGTCGGGTGGGCGTGGGGTTAGCCATCTGTGGAATGATGACCTGACAACCCGTCACCTCCCCGTGAAGGCCACACATCTCAGTACCATTAGTCACCGTGGGAGATATTTCCACCAACTGCAGCAAAAAGGAGGCAAGAAGAGTTTTGTTGCCGAGGCCACTCTGCGCTCTGCAGCCACGCCCCCTGCCTGCAGGCTCCTCCCAGCAGGGCCGCAGCACTTTGCAGGCTGGGATGTGAAGCCCGCGGAAGCTGGGGTGGAGGTAGAGCCCTGGGAGGAGGGCATTCTTGGGGTACCCCAAAATCTAATGGTGTCTCAGACGACCCAGAGAAACCCTGATCTGTACAGGATTAGAGCGCTGGGTGGGAGGGAGGCTTCCACAGCCCAGGACCACATGCTGGGGGTTTGACCAGAGGAGGGTCTTCTTGCAGCTTAAAAACTTGGAGGGGACGGTGTCAGCACTCAGAAGGGGACCAGGAGGACTCTCTACCCCAACTCCCTCCAACGGGGCAGACACGAACCCTGCAGCGGGTGCCCATCCACTCACAGAACTGGAAAACCCAATCTAGGGTCCAAGAAAAAATTCTCGATGTCACAACCTGGGGCGGAAAGACAACTGAAGGCGACAGATCGTCTGTCTGAATATTTACAAGTTATGAATCAACTAGCAAGCTGTTAAGTGTGTTCTATCCTCATATTCTGACCAATATTTCTTTAAAAAGATAAAAAAAATTTAAATGTATACAAAGTTTTGGTTTATTTATGACTGAAAGGTAGCAAAATGTCAAAGATGACCAAATTGAATTTTCTTTTTAAAGATTTTATTTATTTATTTTTAGACAGAGATGGAGGGAGGGAGAAAGAGAGGGAGAGAAACGTCAATGTGTGGTTGCCTCTCTCGTGCCCCCTGCTGGGGACCTGGCCCACAACTCAGGCCTGTGCCCTGACTGGTTACTGAACCAGCGACCCTTTGGTTCACAGGTCAGTACTCAGTCCATTGAGCCCCACCAGCCCAATTGAATTTTTACTGCACCTGTGTGGGTGATGGGCTGACCACATTGAGATATATAATTCATAAATGTTTATAACGATTACATGAAACTTATTTTTCCTATTTTCCTTTCAGCAAAATCACTAATCATGTTACTGTCAAGATTTTAAAATATATTTAATAAAGACATAATTATATTCAAAGTACAAAATTTAAATATGTATTTATAAAAATATAAATTTATGTAAAATTTTAAAATTATTTTTCCAAAAGTTACCTTATTTAAAATATTGAAAAGCATTTAATGATTTAAAAGCCAAAAATACAAATTAGAATTAATGCATAACAAATTTTTATATCAAAATTATTTACATAAATCCAAACATTTAATTTCACTCTTTGAAAGCTTAATTCAATTTTAAGTAACTTTCAATTTTTTAAAAAAAGATTTTATTTATTTATCTTTAGAGGGAAAGGGAAGGAGAGAGGGAGAGAAACATCAATGCGTGGTTGCCTCTTGTGCGTCCCCTACTGGGAACTGGGAAATTGTGCCCTGACTGGGAATCGAACTGCAATACTTTGATTTGCAGGCCCGCACTCAATCCACTGAGCTACACCAGCCAGGGCAGTAACTTTCCATTTTAAAGTTTAATTTAAAATATACACAATTTTTAAAGCAAAAAAAAGTTAAAATTCATCATCCTAGCATCAATGCCCATCCAGCTGCCAGT